TATTCTCTCCTTTGCACACTCAACAAGATCCTCCAACTACTGAAGCCACAAACCAGATTTTAAAAAGCTCTTGCATGACAACTGCTTCTAATTTTTTCACTCTTCCAGCCTTAAGAGTTTATTTCTCTTTGTACCAGCAGAATTTACCAAGTCCTCCCATACTATGAGACCACACCAGCCAGCCCTGCTGAGTAAAGCAGATGAAGTGGAAACCTTCAGAGATCCCACGCAAATCTTTCTGAACAGAAGTTTTAATACAATGAGAAGTTTTTTATCTGTGGCAGAAAAGAAGGAAAACCTTACCTAGCCCCTTTCCTAAGGAAACCAGTTCCACTAAGAGGGAGTTGTGAAAAGTGGGAGAGACCAAGAAATCACTGCAGTTACTTCCATTCATGTCACAGGGGTACTCAAAGTGTACTCCTCCTAAAGCTCCAGGCAGTGAAATGCTGTGACAACAGAAGTGCCCACAGCAAAGGTCTGTTTGAGAACCAGTTCAGAAGCAGCAAGTTCTCGCATAGAACAGGAATTTTTCTATCAGCATGTCCTAAACAGATGAAGGGTAAGCTCTATCCAAGCCACAGAGGCAGGATCAGAAACTGCCTGTTTTTCTAGTCTTACTTCTTAATAAAAATAAATCTGTTTCTTCCACTGCTCAATTCTAATACAGCATCAGAAAGCTCCATATTAAGTGTCTCTGAAGAGTAGCATCTTTTACCAATCAAGTAACGTAGCTTAGTTTATACTCAGATCCTATTTTAGCTCTTACTTTAGAGATTCTCTTCCTCTTCCCCTCCAAAATGACCATAATTGTACCTATAAAAATACAGAGCATATGGAACGCTTTCCTCCAAGCAATGGAACAGAGTGCCATAAAAGCAATGAACATAAGCAGTTTATTAGAGGTGGATTCCCTGCCCCATCATCTACTCAGAGCTGCTGTGAAATTCTATTGAAGTCATACTGTGCAAGGGTACAAAACAGCTATGAAAGAATTTGCCTGCATTACATAGGGTTTACTGTTAATTGGCTCTTGCACACACACGCAGTACATAAAGACTGCTTTTTTTGTTTAGGAAGTGATGATGTGTTAAGAGGATGTCCTCTGTTGATATAAAGCTCACATCAGGATTGTAATTTGAGTTAACATCTACACGTCATTTTATGTAACCACTTGACAATGGTGGTCCTGGCTAATTAGTTTCTGTTAGTTAAAAGGGAAATGTGAATGACATTTTCTTAGGGCATAAAGAGAGAGACATTGGCTTACTCAGACTAATAACATCAAGGTGCTAGTTCTTTCCTGTCATATCCACCACATGCTTCTGATCACATTGTCAGATCTGCAATCTCTTACGCACCGGAAAACGGAACCTTCACTCCTCCTTTGATGATCTCTTCTCTCTTAGTATTAAGCTGAATGAATCACAGGAAGGATGAACACATCTAAAATCTGTATTTGAAGTAAAGACTTTGTCTACAGCCTCGCTTCAAGAACAGAGTTAGCCAAACTTTTCTGGTGGACTTGGAAGCAGTGGAGTGTGGAAGAGCCAGCCTTTCATGACTGCCCAGACTCATTTTCTTAATGAACAGCAGAGTATAACTTTTACTGTTTTGCAACCTCCCTTTCAGGCAATGCTTATCCAAACCCTTGAAGCAGCCCTCTCTTTGCCCTCTGTTCCAGAGCTAGTAGGTATGATATTCCACTTGAAGAAGCCACCATCTACAACTGCCAGAACAAGGAGTGTCATTCTAGTAAGGGATGGGAAAGGAGGACAACTAATTCCTTTGGGCACCCTGGGAAATTCAAGCCACCATCTGCTTTCCATCTTTGCTTTAGTGACTTCTAGGAAATTTTGATAAAGAAAGAGGAACCCAAAGTGAAGTCTTAAAGTAACAATCTAGTACCTATTCCTCTGACCCCCAAAAGGCAGAGAACAACAGGAAATGCACCTGCTCAACAAACTGGCTCCGTGATTCAAATGAATTACAACCAGACAACACTGTGATAGCAGTGATATACATTAAACATGGTACAGAGTATGTCACAAATGAGAGGAAAGGCTCTTCCTGCCATATCATTTCAACCACAGTAAATCAAAAGCTACAATAACAATAAGCAGAATTTGCAACTAACCAGCAGCAGAAGAGGCACTCATTTCTCCTGTGACTTCTACATCTTTACAGTTTGAACTTTTCCTGGCAGTTAGGAATACAGTGAAAGCCTTTGTGAACAGAAGCTCAACACATCGAAAATAAACATGGGTCCTCACTCGGAAACAAAAGAGGCACATGAGATCCAGGAAGTAACCTATCAGTCACTTGATGAAGTCTACTATCAAGTAGTCTAGAGGAAAAGGGATAAAATAACCTTTATTCATGGCACTGGGCTGGAAATAAGAAAAGGGTTTCCTCCATCCGTTTGGATGGAACTCTACTGAAGCTACAGCCTTTTAAAACCCAAAATACCTATGCAGAAAGATATACAATCCAGAAGTGAGGATTTTTTTCCCTACAAAATATAAGGGACCAAACATAAGCAGAAAAGCTGGAGTTTCTCCGGTCACCTGGAAAACAAGCCATGTGATGCACATCTGATTCATCTTTATTAAACACGACAGTAAGAATCCCTTTGCTATTCTACCAGACTCTTACAAAAGCCCTCAAGTCAATGGACCATGGCAAAACCAATTTGCAAACTGCAAAACTGGAAAGAAAAGCCCCACTGGTATGAAAATGGAAATAAGTGAAGATGAGAAATATCTCATTGTTTCTGGTTAGAGCCCAGCTCTCACTTCCAGCTGCCTAAACAGCAGAAAACTCTGCCCTTCAACCCACTGCTAGTTCACATCAGCGGAAGAAATTCAAGTCAAGGGATAAAGGTAAACCTGACTGTTAATTACTTAAAGGTCTGTAAGTCTAGGGAGAGCGCACAGTTGTTAAAGGGACATGGAAAAGGTTCTATCTCAAGTGAAACACATCCATTTTTTATTTACACCCCTAACATAACAAAAGCATCACTTTGCCAGTGCAGTTTTCGCCATTTTTAGCCCAAACAAAATGAAGCATTTTCAGACACACAAAAAAAGAACTTAAAAGCACAATTTCACTGATCTAATAAAGGTATGAAATTTCCTTCTTTGGCTTAAAAATGATGGAATACACATACACTGATACTTAAACATACTGCAGTAATTCTCCTAAAATATATTCAGGAACAAAACAAAATCCATCACAGGTAAAGGAAGCACGTGAGGCTCTTCCCCCTCTGGCTGTGCGGAGCTGGATATCTTTCACTTGAGCAGAGTAAAAGAATGGCTTTAATTTCCATCCCCCTTAATAATTTGCTTTAGAACCTTGACAGTGAATTCAAGGAGACAAACCCCACTATTTACACAACATAAAATACCAAATAGGCATTGCCTGCTGACATGTGGCTTAAACCTGGCACCCCACTAGACAACACATCATGTTTGAGGTTCCACTCCTCTAATTCCACTTTAAATACATGACCCAATCTAACATCCAGTGTGATTAACAGGAGTCTTCCCATCAAATTCAGAGGGTATTCGGCAGTACCTCCAGAGGCTTTACTCCTACCTGAACATTTTTCATGCAAAGGTAAGTTTTGGAGTTACACCACTGAATTCAGTGAACAAGGTCTGGCTTTTGGGCTAACAGAGGAAGCTAGAGCAAGCAGCCTGGCATGCTGTAAGAGAGTTACACTACACCCAGCGAGCCGTCTTCCTAGTATAAAGCCCTCATATTCCCTCAAAAACTGATTAAAAATCCAACTTGTTTTTAAATTGGTTAATAAAACAGAACTTCAGCATGGCCTTTGCTCTCTGTCGTTTAGTAAGCCCCTTGAACTTAGAATACTATATGTTCTGTATCTGTGCTTTGAATGAAGCACAAATGGAGACCTTTAAAACCAACTGTTTATTTTGGGTGGCTCAGTTTGGAAGAGTGCATCCACAGAAGTATTTCAAACTGGATATCCCAGACCAGAAATATTAAAACAACATACTGAAATATTCAAAACCTCCTTCATTGGGTCCATGAATTAAGACAGAACTGATACCGATTTACTATACTGATTAATATAAATATACCATTTGATAGCATTTACAAAGTATTGGTTTTCAAGTCTAAACATGTTCTCTGGCAGCAGTTAGAAACAGGAATATTCAACATTAGGCACACAACTAAGAAGGAAAAGCATCTTAAAATCTTTCTTTTAAAGACAAGGAAAACAGCCAAAGTAAAATCCTTAATGAAGTGAAGCTGATTGAAATGATCTATTTTTTCATCCAGTCTTAGCTCAGGCCAATAATCCCAAAGCCTGGAAGTCATACTACCCAGTTTGAATTCGAACATCAACTGAATGGCAATAAGGGCTTTCATGAAAAAGAATGCAGAGTGTAACTGCAATGTTTTGGGAGTCTTCCTACCTTCATTTGTTTTCATCATCATTACTGAAAAATAAACCTGAAGCAAGGTTAGGATTTCTCTTTTTCCTAAAGAGAAGGAAGAAAAAACCCAAACCAACCCAATCAAGTAACAGTGTTGGGTGAGTTAAGGAGGAAATTAAGTTTTGCCGAAACATTTACTTTTTCCCAGAGAAGTATGGAATGAAAAGCTTCATTTGCTTTTAAGCACTGCCTTAAAGAAAAAAATGAATAAAAAGGGAAAACAGTGAATTCCAATTTAGCCATTTTTCACCATGTTTACTTTGAGTAAAACTGCATCAAGAAACACGTGTGTCTCCAGAAAATGCCAGAATTAAATCCTTATTGATTTCACCTAAAAAAGGCATTTTCCAATCAGCCTGAACAATTAAGATATTGAATAGGCTTTTCAAAAGGAAAAGTAAATTTGGATGTTCATATCTCACTTCAGGATGAATTATATTCTCCCTGTCATTTGTATTTCTGAACAAACTGGATAGTATAACATTCCTGTGGTAACCCTGTGTGCAAAAATGGAGAAGTGGTGGATGTTACCTAGCATGTTGTGGTAAAGTGGACTGTCGTGTCCATGGATAGTAAATGCAGTCATGACTAGCGGGACCTCTACACCTGCAGGCAATTACAGAACAAAAGATGTCATTTGCCATTCACAAGGACATGCACATGCATTCGCCCTTGTCCACACGTGGAAGATGGAAGACACACAGGGAACGATCACTCAGCAAGTACCTATCCATCAGGCCGATGCAGTCCTCAAGACGTGGCCCGATGCACCTGCAGCAAATCCAAATTGAAAATAGGGAGAGAAAGAGAGAAATTGGTTATTTACAGATCCTATATACAGCAGGAATCCCCTCTTTGTCACAAAATCTTAATTGTAATTCTCAAAAGAGACCCAAGTCACCACAAAATTATAGCCTGTGATAAAAACAGGCTTGCAATGGGAACACTAATAGCAACAGCACTCCAAGGTTGGACATATCTTGGCTCAAAGGCAGGTTTCAGTTGCATACGTGGGAGTCGTGACAATAGAGCTGCTTTTTCTGGATGTTGTCTGAATCATCAAACCGGTGATTACTGCACAGAAGCTGCTCATTTGCAAGAAGAGACCCCCAGGAGCACAACACAAAACTTTCTTGCTTTCTGTAACTGATGCAATTGTTCATTCTGTTCTAAGCTCCCAGTTCAGACAACTCTAGTAATTTGGAAGCTGACGGTACTTGCATCAGGGAAACCCAAAGATGAACATCCAACAGCAAAAATCAGAGCAAAACAGTATCTGCTGATTCAGGCATTTTATTCTGCTTTCTTAGGTGCTGCCAAAAGTCCTCCACCTCCAAAAATCAGCAAGCACTCATCAAACAAAAATGAATGGAATCACTCTATGCAGCACCACTAAAGCATAACCATAGGGAAAGATACTGCAAAACACAGCTATGCAAGGATTTTCCTTGCCCTCATGACGCACAGTACCTGAAGCGGTGCCCTATGCCCTCTGTGTTCAAATAGCAAGTCAGTTACGTATTTACACAGCACTGTCAGGATTCTCAGAGACTTAAAGTTAAGCTTTTAGGGGTTAAGACAACCTGACACCCTTGTGTTGAATGTCCAGCTAGTGCATCTGCAGCCATGGAGTGTACTGAGCTCTCTGCATTTTAAGGACATGAAACCACTTATTTATCTCTTTTAAGATCCCAGGGACATTTTATTAACAGGCTCTTTGGCTTTCAGTCCACTATAAGAGCAGGTGATCTGATGCTTTGGTAGACTGAAACTCACTTCTGTTGAGATAGTTAAAATTGAAGGTATGATCCCCAACTCCTTTAAAGTCCTCTATTTTTAGTTTGGCTTTGATAGAGGAATATGCATGTCAAAAAGCTGAAAGAGTTCAAATATGCTCTCATGGGATCTTCTTTCCACCTCACCATCACTTGCCACTCATCAGCTTTTGCTGCTTTTAAATTAGCTGTTGCTCTGCCATTGTAAAATAAACTTAATGAATTCAATTTCCCCTTACCTGCCCATCAGGGAGAGCAGAATGATAGAACCTTACCTCTTGTTTGTTTACTTGAATTCTTATTTTAACATAAAAACTGTGACATGCAAACACAAATTGGAAGGATTTCCTCAATAATGGTTTCCTTCAGCAAATGTGCAGACATGAAAAGGATTCATTAAATACCCAGGTGGCCAGATAATGCATAAACGGAAAGGGAAGATTTAACTGCAGTTCAAAAACTTCATAGAGAAAACTCCTGACGGGTGTTTTTTGAAATGTGAGCTGTCCTTGGCTTCAGGACTTCAGAGTTTAGGACTGTCTGAATGCTAACCAGCCTCAAACGCATCCAGCACGTCTTCCTTTCATGGCATTCTCAGCAATTTGCAGATAACCAGTTCAGTAATGAAGGAGGCTGGAAAAAAGTTGTTCAGATCTTCCATTTCCTAACATGTCAAGAGAAGCTGAGCTCTGACTCTTGCCATAAATAAAAAGAAGGCCCTCTACAAATTAGAGATCCGAGAGCCCATTACTACTAGTTCAGACAAGGGGCAGACCAACATAAAGAACCTACTGTCTTGGAGGCATTTTGCATCTGTACATTTATTCTGTCTGGCTTTTGGAGAATAGGACTTGGATCCAAGGAGAGAGTGCTGTTTGGACCTCACCTACTCCAAGATGAAATACGACTGATTTTTATTTAAACCTGTCGTCTTCTTCAGTGGATTTCCCAGCCCCAAAACTCCATCCAGGTGCAACTTCCATTATTCCAAGTCATGTTGAACAGCTTCCTACTCTCTGACTGGCTGTCCTGATTACATGCGACAAAGTACAACACTGAGTAACGGCAATAGCTGTCAGAAAGCTATTTTGCACCATCAAGTCATCAGTTATTTTTCCTCTGGAAGTAACTTCCTTGGTTTGAGGCTTTTTGACAAAAATCACACGCAACATTGGTACTCCATATACCCCCCAGGGTTCCTTTTTCTGCTTGGATTCTGGATGATACTTTCACTTCCAAGTTGCTCTGTAAAATGAACTCATTAACTAATACATGCCAATTTACTAATGATATATTCAGTACCATAGAACAGTCCAATACAGCTTATACAATATCATTACACTTGGAGCTGATCTTGGCTTCACAGATAATCATCCCCTGAAAGAAAATGACAAGTTAAGATAGCATTAAAAACTGGAATAACTAATGTTTTTGCCTGAAACAATCCTTTTCCTCTCAGTCACAAATACTGTCTTTCAGCAATTTTCATTAGGATTGAAAGGCAGGGTCTGAACTGTTCACAGATGTGGAGCAGTGAAGCCATTTGCAGTCAGATGAAGTCTCAAAAATCTTTGCCATTAGAAACAATCACAGAATGGTTTGGGTTGGAAGGGACCTTAAAGCTCACACAGTTCCAGCTCCCTGCCACATGCAGGGACACCTTCCACTAGAGCAGGTTACTCAAAGCAACCAGACTGCACAACTTCTCAGATATGATGGATAGTGGCTTAGCCACTTCATCCACCAATTCCCTCAGGACCCATGGATGCATCTCATCAGCTCTCACGGACTTGTGAACCTTCAGGCTCCTTAGAGGGTTTCAAACCTGATCTTCTGCAGTGGGTGGTTCTTCATTTCCCCAGTCCCCACCATTACCTTCTGTGACTGGGGTAGTGTGGCTGGAGCTCTTGTTGGTCAAGACAGAGGCAAAAAAGTCACTGAGTATCTCAGCCTTCTCCATGTCTTGGGTAACCAGGTCTCTCGTTTCCTTCCGGAGAAGATCCACATTTTCCCTTATCTTCCTTTTATCCCCTATGTACCTATAGAAGGTTTTTTCTTGTTGCCCTTGATGTCCCTGGCCAGATTTAATTCTATCAGGGCTTTAGCTTTCCTAACCTGATCCCTGGCTGCTCAGACAATTTCTTTTTATTCCTCCCAGGCTACCTGTCCTTGCTTCCACCCTCTGTAGGCTTCCTTTTTGTGTTGGACTTTGTCCAGGAGCTTCTTGTTCATCCTTGCAGGCCTCCAGACATTCCTGCCTGACTTCCTCTTTATTGAGATGTGTCACTCCTGAGCTTGGAGGAGGTGATTCTTGATTATTAGCCAGCTTTCTTGGGCCCCTCTTCCCTCCAGGGCTTTATTTACCCCATGGTACTGTACCAATCAGATCCCTCATGAGGCCAAATCTGCTCTCCTGAAGTCCAAGGTAGCAAGCTTTCTGTGCACCATCCTCACTGCCTCTAAGGATCTCAAACTCCACCATTCTAAACAAAATTGATTATACAACAGCATAAGCAGATTAACTCTGAACCCTTAGTTCTGGTGATGACCAGTCATACAACTACTGCTATGAACAGCCAACTGAAAACCAGGCTGTTACTTAGCTAACAGGATGAGATTTCCGATAGTGACAATAAGAAGGTTGAACTGGGGCAGGAGATTGGGGAACCTTTTGCATCAACAAAATATTAATAGTTTCTTATTCAGAGTTTATTGTCATTAAATTTGTAGTATTTTTTCCTATGAAATTCATAATGCCTTCCTAAAAACACACCTAACCCTTAGGGGCAAGACAGTACTTCTGCCTTCAAATCCCTTCTGGACCACACACGTTGATAAGGTTCCCATGATTTCTTTGCTCTTGGCTTAGAAGGAAAATAAAGTTTTGATGAAAAGTAATACACTTCTTCCAAAAAGCTGTGTGAGAAAATGACTTTCTATGAGGAGGAGAGGTGTCCAGTGAGAACACCCACTTGTGTCAAATGCTATTATATAATTAGCATTTTATTTCTGTGAAAGTGCTCCATTTTGGCTTGCTCTGCAACAAGAGGTGCCAAGTGCTGTCTGACTCTTGAATTAAATGGGACAGCTGTCCCACATGCCCCAGATCTGCTCCAGACTGGCTTCAACTAGCTGATGTTTAGCCTGGGGATGTAAGGCCAAGAGCATAGCTGTTACTTCCAAGGAAGTCACTCCTTGATGGCTCTCCTAGTCAATGCAAGATCATTAACAGGGCTGGATAATTACACACCTATTAACAGAAGCAGCCATTATTGTTGAATAAGGGAGGAGAATGGTCTAGGGTGTAAAGCAATCATCTGCAAGGACCATGATGAAATATGGTAAGACGTTTCCAGGAAACACAGGGATGGAACAGACATCTTCCCTGGTGACAACAACAGGTAGGGATGACTAGAAACAACATATGGGAACAACCCATTCTAGCAAGCAGCCAGATTCAAAGAAAGCAGCACTGCAGGAATGAGATAATACCACACCAGGAGCACTGCTCTGCAGCACCTCAACACTTTTTGATGATTATCCAAGCTGCACTGAGAGGGCATCAGTTTTATTCCAGCAACTGATCTGACAAGAGAGGAGAAAAGACATGCTAGATAAAGTAGAATTACAGTTTCTCTGTACCATTCAGTCATGAGCCAAATATCAAGATGTGTTCCCTCCACAATCTATCTCACTGAACAATCCTGAGGGGAATTTAAATACTAATTTTTAAAGGAAGGGTATGAAACTAGAGAATTCTGTATTGAAGGAGAAAAGGAGCAAGAGTTTGCCTTCTCTCTGTGGGCACATTCAGCCCCTGACAACATTGGCAAGAAGAGATGGACAACCCAGACATCTTGGGTAGTCATTAGTGTAATCACATACCAGAAAGTCTTTAGGAACACCAGAAAAAAAGACCCAAGTACATCCAGACTTGGGGGGTGGTGGTGTATTGTTTTTATGAGGGATAACTAAATACCTAAGAATAGATGCAACAACTCTTTAATAAGAGCAAGAGGATTTCCATGACGAATAGTATTTTACTCATGGCAAAGGGATAGCTCCTCACCTAGGAGATAACCACACCTTTTCCTATGTAACCTGGGTGTGAAACCTCTGGCCCTTTCACTAGTGGCAGTTTATCAGTTCTCTGGGGTTTGACACACAATGCTAGATTAGACATTCTTTTACCTTACCAGCTGCAGAAAATAAGAAGGGATAACTGCAAGTTCAAGGCTTAAATGATAACAAAGGAACACTGTGTCACCAAGGGTTGCCAATGAATACCTGCTACAACTGCCTAATGCTTTTCCTGTTTGTTTATGAACTTGAACATCAGATTTTCATCACAAGACATAAAAGTCCTCCTTCTTGATCCTGTTCTATCCAGGGAGATAAAAACAAGTAACACTTGCAAACTACTGATGCCTATGAAGAAGTGGAAAGGCATGGAAAACATTCTGCTCTCTTTCTGGACTAGGAGAAACAGTTGTGACATAAAGATTAGTAACACTTAGACCTCCCAAGAAAAGAGGAGGGAATGAGACGTAGTATTGCATCCTTGTCTTCTGAGAGCGCAGCAGAGCTGCAAGGCACTTCTTAAGTAGGGTGGACAGTAAATCTATCATAGACTGCTGGGCTTGTCAGACTTGATCAGAATTGTCACTTACACCATTTATTAAAGCCAGGACCAGAGCTCCTGAAGTGAGCTCATCTTTTCATATTGTTTCTTTTTACTCTCCTCTTCCACAGTAGCATTTTTCTTATTGCATAACTGATTTAAAGGGTCTGAGAGGAAGACAAATCTGTAACAGACCCTGGCTGTGTCTTTGCGATCTCACTTTCATTTCCCTAATGGCTCTATTGTAATTAGATTTGCAAAACCAGAAAAAGGTCTCATTTTGAATGGCAACAGCTGTTGACATCAAGATTACATTGAATAATTTACTGGTTTAATTTTAGCTGCTAAACAATAAGAGCCTCTTGTTGAAGATTATTTCACTGTCTGAAGTTTGCTCTTTTTTTCCCCTGGCTGCCTTTCCCTTCCTTTGTTCCATATGCTGGACAGACACCACCAACCATCTCATTAAAAAAAAACCAGCATTTAACTTGTGTGGCCCATACAAAACAACAGTTGTGTGACTACTATTATTTTGTGGCACAGATCCTTAATTTTGGCTCAGATACATGGGCTGTATATTTCCAAATGTAACAAGTGATTTTAGGCACTTAGACAGCACTCGAGAAGCTGACGTTCAGAATCAGACTCCTGTACAAAGCCTGGTTTCAGACAAACCCTTTGCATCAGTCCCCATATGAGAGAAAGAGCATTAATGCTTTCATCTCACAGTAGTGCTGCCAGGTTAGTTCACCAAAAGCAAGGAGCAGAGATTAAAATTCTGTCAACAAGTGAATACCAAAAATAAAGGCATTTTACAGGCCTACGCTGAAGTGTCACTAGCAGCATTTGCTACAAACCTGTGGTAGGTAGAAGGAGAGCTAAGAGCACTGCTGTGAAAAGCTGTTCTCTGTGGTTTTCAGAAGGGCTTTAAGCTTTTTTCCTGATAAGCTGCTGGACATTCATGACTAGAACCCGAAAGTCATGAGACCCCTGAAAATCAAAGGTCACACTACTACTGCACACACTGTTTTCAGGAGTGGGACAAGTGCTTTACCCATTCAAACTGTATGTAAACAATCATGTGCTATAAGCAGTAAAGGGGATGGCTCACTTGACAGAACTGGCACTTACCCTTGGGTGCAGTTTGGATGACACGGATGGCACTCACGATCCTCATCAGCGTATTTGAAAATGAAGCTGTTGGCCCCTTGTAAGCCATCAGGGCATTTTTCCACACAATTTGGACCATCCTTAAAATGGAAACACTTTGTGCAGTGGTCAGGTCCCTGGAGACATGGAAGGAAGAAATGCAGTGCATTCAAGTTACTCTGTCTCTTCCTCCTGCACTAGAATTTGCAAGTCCTCAACTGGCGGCACACTCAGCAACAACGGTTAATAGCACTTATTAGTTAGAGTTGGAAAGGATTACCTTAAAGATCATCTAGTTCCAAACCCTCTGCTATGGACAGGGACACCTCCCACTAAACCATGTGACCCAAGGCTCTGTCCAACCTGGCCTTGAACACTGCCAGGGACGGAGCATTTACCACTTTGTTGGGCAACCTGTTCCAGTGCCTCATTACCTTCACAGGGAAGAACTTCTGCCTTATATCTAACCTGAATTTCCCTGGTTCAAATTTGAGCCCATCACCCTTTGTCCTATCACTACAGTCCTGATGAAGAGTCCCTCTCCAGCATCCTTATAGCCCCCTTCAGACACTGGAAGCTGCTCTGAGGTCTCCACGCAGCCTTCTCTTCTCCAGGCTGAACAGCCCCAGTGTTCTCAGCCTGTCTTCATATGGGAGGTTCTCTAGCCCCCTGACCATCCTCGTGGCCTCCTCTGGACTTGTTCCAACAGTTCCATGTCTTTTTTATGCTGAGGACACCAGAACTGCACACAATACTCCAGGTGAGGTCTCACAAGAGCAGAGTAGAGGGGCAGGATCACCTCCTTCAACCTGCTGGTCACGCTCCTTTTGATGCAGCCCAGGATACGGTTGGCTTTCTGGGCTGTGAGCACACAGTGAAGCCAGCTCATGTTCAGTTTCTCATCAACCAGCACCCCCAAGTCCTTCTCCACAGGGCTGCTCTGAATCTGTTCTCTGCCTAGCCTGAAGCTGTGCCTGGGACTGCCCTGACCCAGGTGTAGGACCTTAACACTTGGCTTTGTTGAACTTCACGAGGTTGGCACTGGCCACCTCTCAAACATGTCCACGTCCCTCTGGATGGCAAACAAGCACTGAATAATCTGTATGGTTCATTTAAGATGCATGAAAAAAATTACCTATTGAAACAACCAAAAAGGCTAACCTAAGTTTGAAACAAAACCCCAAACATATTGTTCAACTTAACTCAGAAATTGAGACAAAATTCCATACTTTTTTTCCACGGGGAAATAAAAAAAAAGGAAATGGAAACTGCAAAGCTGCAGTAGAACAGGACAGAGCTAAGTATAAAGAATGACAGCAGTGATAAAGAGGGCACTCAAATCACAGCTGCATGCTAGCTCTCATCTAAAAACAAAGTCTGTCTGTACCACTAAGGCATTAAAACAACTCAGGAAAGAAAAGGAAAACTTTTTAAACACTTTCTAAAGGGGGCTGATCCAAGCAAGTTTATTCCCAGCACCAATTTAACATGAGCAGAATTCTTTCCCTATATGCAGAGATTGCATATTTTCTGCTTTTGTTGACGTTAATTTTCAATATCTGTTTTAAAGTCTGTAAGCAGAAAATGCCTGTGCTTCAGCACTCTTTAACCAGCCAGGCCATAACACACCAAGGTTTGTTCTTACCGGCCCGTAGCATGTGATCATGTTTTCTTCCATCTTTTCGCACTGGGGATCACACTCCACACAGACAGAACCATTTGCAAATTCCCGAAATTCCCTAGGAAAATATTTTGCAGGTGAGTCAGGAGAGAACAGAAGCAAGACTGAAACTGGGATGGAAACTGAGACAAAATGGCTGCTCTTCAGCAAGTGGAAATCACTTCAGCTGCGTGCAGGTGAGCAGACTGCACAGCTGAGATCACTTCTGTTAATGACATTATGTTGCTTTGCACCAGCTGAAAACCTCACTCACAGGCAGGTGAAGCAGAAGGCATCTTGTTTGCCAGTATAAAACTATAGTAGGGTTTTGCCCTCTTAAGAAATAAGGACACCATTAATAGGACAAAGTAACTCATTTCGGGATTTTTATCTATGGAATTGTCACTCCTGCTCAGGTTCAGGAAGCCACTTGTTACATGTTGGACACCACTATAAGGCAGGTAAGGATTAGAAAGAGCACTGATCCACAGTGCTGCGCTTGTTTTATTTAGTTTTCTATGAATACTCTCTTTTTAAAGCCCATTCTCTAAAAGGCTCGTAACTTATTCAACAACACTTCCAGATCGAGGTCTGAATCTATAAAACCTCAAAACAAATCCTTTTGCTCCATTAAAAACTATCATCTTTTTATTAACCCCTTACAAGGGGTGGGAAAGTAGTGATAGAACGTGGGATTTCTTCCTTCAAACACCAGGTAGCTCATTTTAGCTGCCAGTTACAACTCACAAAAAAACCTGTAGCACCCTCTCAACACAATATATCCCTCTTCTAGGCTGAGATAAATTAGCATGTGAAAAGGTTGTTTTTTCTCCCACTAATCATGGACAGAATCTATGCACCTAGCTCAGACTGGACACACCAAAGCTTTGTAGATGGATCCCATCTCATTGCATTAACCAGTTAAAATATTTGTATTAACCAGTTAAAAGATGTGCTGCACACTCACAGTAGGCTCCAGTAATATCCAGGTAAAGGGTGAAGGCCTCTGTGCTTAGGTTATGGATGCTCCTTTACAGCCACTAGGTTCTATTGCAACAATACAGCTAAGTAAAACCCCTACTTGCACTACTGTGCAAATGAGCACACCCTTCCCTGGCTTTTTTTGCATGCATTCTCCAGATCGAAGAGCTTAGGAAGTCTTTCGTGTTATATGGGAGTTCATTTTATACTCTTTCCTTAACAGTTACACAAGTTGGCATCCAATGAAGGAAAAGAAAGACAACAAAACCATACAGTGACCTTATTTTCAAATAACAGTTTGAGTTGGAAAAGATAATTAATACCATTTAGGTTTTTTATCTTGACTTTAGAAGAGGTGTTGGGGAACTTGCTATGCTGCTAGACACGGATTGAAATTCCACCTGCTCCACTCCACAGCCTAATTATGAATTTCTGCTGCTGCAGCTAATATAAGCAGTTCAGCTCTATTTTGTCTGTCATGAGGCCAATTTCTCATTCCTACATACTGGCTGTACCATATGTAGGAATCCCCCTACCCATCCTCCAGAAAAGATGGTGCACATGCATGAGCAGCAGAGGGAAAGGAGGGGAGAACTCATGCTGGGTTTAGAGTTGTGTGTACACATACACAGCGCATTATGAAAAGAGACTGTTTCTACTTTGGGGTCCTTATTTAGAGAATTTCTCTATCAAATGCCTAGATCTAACTCATCTGAAAGAACATAAGTGCATGTGTTTTGGAACAGGAATGTTTATTCAAGTAGGGCTAAATGGTGGGGGCTTTTTTGTGTAAGTCTTCACCTAAATCAAAGTGTTCACATCATCAGCAATGCAAAAGGTGCAACAAACTTGATGCTGCATGGAAATTTTAGCAGAATACTAAGTAAAGCCTTCCACACAAGTTCAGATTAGGAAATCTTTAAAACTCATCCCATAATATATTTCACTCAAAATTAGTACTACTGGCAATGGAGACAGATATTGATTAATTTTAAACCAAAATAACTTACTCACTGAAGGCCTGAACAATGTAATCAGCAACTTGAAGGCAACGTGCAAGGGAAGTATCTTACCCATCATACAGGTTACAGGAGTCTATGCAGGTCCTGCCTCTGATGAAGCGCTTGCAGGAGAGACACTGGTCTGGGCCTGGCCCCCAACAGCCATCACTTGAGCATAACTCATTACACACCATTCCATCAGCAGCTGCAGAGAGAGAGGATACTGTCATTAACTTACACAGTTCTCTGAGATCCAAAGGAAATCACTGCATTCAGCATTCTGCCATACTCAGAGAAGTACATGGAATGTTCAGATTTCCCAGAAAGAGTAGAGAAAAAGCACAAAACTGTCATGATACCACTACAGAAACATACTGTGCACTCACAGTTTGAACTCCATCACTTCTGGTTTCTTCCCTTTCAGAAAGGATTTAGTAGAATGAGAAAAAGGTTTAAGAGAGGGCTGCAAGGATGAGCTTCTATACCAGAAATAAACAAATAAGTAGCCTTAGTTATGGGTGAGAAAAGAACATGATAGAGATTTATAAAATTGTGAATAACAGGAAGGTATGTAAGCATGAAACAATTGCTCACTGCTTCTTCCAAGTCCCTCAGGGGCATTCAAAACAACAGGAACCCAACAGGGTTCAAAACTGAGTTTTCATCACAAGTATAGATCAAGCTGCAGAATTCCCTGACACATGAAAATGCCAAAAATCTAAAGGATTTGAAAAATCAATTGTCCAAATCCACTGAAGGGCTATGAACCTAAAACATAAACCACTACCTCTGAATTGAAGGACTTCCTAAAATAACATTTATGGATGCTGGGGAGAAAGACGAAAGAAAGTCACCATTAACTGTGATTTTTAATTGTTTATTGCAAAGCACCTAAAAGTGCCATACAACCGTTATTATAAACCCCCAAATAAATCATGAACAAAGGGGGAAAGGGAAAGGTTGTTTCAAACAGTGTAACTAATTCTGTATTTTACATCAATTCTCCCCTACATAAAATCTGGATGACTGTGACAGATGGAGAAAATGACCAAAGAGCAAAAGGAAACACAGGTAAATCTCCCCAGCATCTGAGTGAAGTCTAGCTGTGCACTGTCAGCCAATCCCTGGCACGTGAAACTGTAGATCTCTTCATCTGAATTCACTCTTGCACAATGGAATGTTTTATGCAGATGGATTACATACTAGACTTGAGTAGATGAAAACCAGCAAAGATCTGAAATATCAGATATGGAAAATACATAAACATTTGTTTGCTTTGGGAGACAGCTTGAGGGGAGTGTCAAATAAGAAATTAATAGTAGGTTTGCTGATAGAATTCTACCACCCCCACCAATGCTTCAGCAACAAAGACGTCCAGTTGGGAACAAACACATGCGCCTGAACAATTAAAGAGCACACTATGTTTTATTACCTGAGAAGCACAAAGCCCTTCTAAATCACAAGAGCCAGCAGAAAGATGCTTTCTACTCTTCACCGCATGTTTAAAAACTGGTTATTCTGTGCTGTGGTGTGTATAATGTCTGACATTTGAACCACTGAATGCCTATCAGAGTAGCTTACTGCTCAGGAGAGCATGCTGCTTCATACAGCACCTCATTCCTTAACCGATTTTCATCATCCAGCATAAGCCCTATCTTTCTCATCTATATAGCATGCCTAGTCTATATGTCCTCCTCTACTTCCAACAAGGCAATTCCTGAAACTCCTTTTGCCTGCTGACATGTAGGAAGTTCATGTCACACTGGCAGGGTGCCTTCCTTTCATACATATGAGCTGTTCTACCCTTGTCACCCTGCTTTTTGACCACTGAATTTATTACAAAGCACTTAGAAAAAACCATGCAGCACCTGTATGCATGGTTCCTCTCTCCTAGCCCATGAAGTGACTAGGCAAGAAGAGTGAAACTTCTTCCATGTTTCCCTTCTTCTTGCAACAGGACATTCTGCTTTATTGAGACTGAACATGGCAGATCCTCACCTACTTGTTTGGTTTTCTGCCTAGAACAGTTCCAGAATTCAGGATATTTCATCTTTATACCCTTATAAGCAGCACAGAAGCCAACCAAAAATTTCATGTCCTCCAGTTCTTGCAGACAAGTGATCCAAGAACCAGATGTTTGCCAGCATGACTTCTAGTTGTACATGGCTCTGCTGTACAACATGTGTAATTCAGCAGGAAGAGGAGCACTATCTTATTCAATACTATACAGCAAATAACTTTGGACATGAAAAGCCTGCACACTCATGTTTTATCAAGGCGGGAATGCTTGAATACATATATATATATATATCACACTCATTTTCTTAATGACAACATCCAGGTGGTGTTCAGAAGTATCTTTTTGATTCTTCTTTTGCCTCAAAGCTCAAAGCAGGTGTAGCCAAACATGACACAATTAAATGTAGGAGTAACTCCAGGTGATCATTTAATTTCCTTTTAAGTGTATTAATTATCACAGATTCCAGCACAGCAAGAGAAACCTGCACTGTTTAGCATGCCATTTCACAGAGCTGTCTCCTTTTCTTCCCCTGAGCTCTGCTGTACATCAGGAGTCATTCTATTGCAGTCAAAGGAGCCACACTATACAAAGTCAGTATCAGCAGAGACCAAAAATCCAGCTTTTCATTATTGTCCTAACCTCCTTTTAAACAACGTTTTTAGAAGAACTAATAGATGTCAGTAGTTCCACTGTGCTGCCACTGACTGAACTTCACAGAAATCACAGGAACCAGGCAAAAGCTTTGCATTACCAAATGCTACATGTGTAGCTCAAGCAGTTCCTTTTTGCACGTACTTTTAGACATCTTGTGCATCTCAGTCTCCTGCTGACTCTGTGCAGTACAGTTCAGGAGGCGCGCTGACTTGATATTAAAGGCTGGTTTGGCCTATTTCATGTACATTACCTATAGAAGGAGCTAGGAAGAAGTTCTGGATGATACAGCTGGATATTTTAGGGGAACCCCAGCTATGCCTTAGGATACAGAGCACACTTGAGGGCTCCCTCAGAATCTTCCAATCTCCCTTGATCTCACCTAATCACATGGTGACCTTGATTGACCAGAAAAATCCATGAATCCTGCCTCATGCTGCCTCCCACAGGGACAAGTTGGGATTAACAGACACTGGGCAAATGAAAACCAGAAAAAAAAAAAAGCAAAACCAAAAAAACAAAAACAACCCCCAAAGCTACCACAGCTCCGTGTAAGCAAGTTTTTTCTATGAATTGCTTTCTTTTCTAGTAGTCAGTGACTCACTTCAAGTACATGGCACGCAATAAATAAACATACCCTGCTTTGGAGATTGCTTTTTTGAAGATCTCAGTTTCAGTCTTAAAAGTATTCGCGATCCCTCAGATCTTGTTTTACACACTCTTGCCATTGAAAGGCAGTTTTCTGTTTGCTTGCTCACCTTTCTTGTAACTTGAACCTGCGCTTTTGTTACTAGTGATTTCCTTTCTTTTCGCTGTTCTTAGCTGTCAGAGTACTCTGGGACCAGAATTCATTTACACACCCAGACACATAATATTGCTGTGAAATATCCCTTCAAATAGCAAGTGATGCTATTACAAGGTAGCTCAGAAAATACACTGAGTAACCTTATGCAAATAGAGAGCTTTTCAGTACAGAAAATCAGGATTACCCTACTGAAATCTGGCCAATGCAGCACCTGTAGTCTATGAAAAATGCAATTAAAAAACCCCCCACTATTTCCTTCTGCTTATTTCTAACTCATAGAAATGTTTTTATAAATGAAACTTGGCAAGAAGCAAGTGGGGTTTTTTGACAACTGATAAACACCCATTATGCTTGTCTGTCTTCCTCCTCTTTAATTATAGGGATGGCTGAAAAAATATTTCAATTTTGAACACATTACTTGGCATTTCCATGGGTTGAGAATGTTCTGAAGCTCCAGCATACAACAGGGCCACATGTGGAATGAACGCACAGTAATGCTTTTGACAGGAACTCATTCCCATTGGGAGTTTTAGAACAAGTGTTCATTCTTTATTAATGGGGTCACACAGGTTAGAAACAGAAAGGTTCCATGTTTTTCCTAACCTAGACAGAACACAAGAAAATCTGCTGTCTAAAAAGGAAGAATTATGGTCATTTGCCTATAGAGTTATGGGCCTGTTCCAAAGCTCTGGGAACTCTAGGAAAAAGCTTTGCAGGTTTCAGTTAGCATCGTGCCAGGTAAGGAATGGAATCATTCATACAAGTTGTTAATTGGAGGCAAAAGTGACAAAATTCATAACAATCACATCTATAGCAACCTTTGCCTAGAAAGGTTTCTCTGTACATTGCAGATGTCACTAAAGATGAAAGGTATTACTTAAATAACTTGGTATAAAAGAAGATTTTTTTTTTTGCTACATTTCTTTTGTGTGCACTCATATTGAACATGAGTCACCTCTGACTGTTCCATAAAAATAACACATGCTGGGAAAAAAAAGGCATATTCTTCCCTTCAGTAGGGAGCAACAGTAAAATTTACCTACTAGAGCATATGATGTAGCAAATAACTCCACAGTCATTCTTTCTGCATTAGTAATATTCATAACTGACTTTAACATTACAGTTTACAGTAGTAGACAAAAATCTTCATTAGAGGAGAGCTTCATGCACTGCATTTTAGACAAACGCTCTCCAATTGATTTCCACTTGACTGCCCATGGCAGGTGGACTGGAACTGGATGATCTTTAGGTCCTTTCCAACCCAAACCATTCTGTGATTCTATGATTTATCAGTTTGAAGATCACAGAATTACAGACTGGTTTGGGCTGGAACGGACCTTAAAACTCATTCAGTTCCAAACCCCTGCCACAGGCAGGGACACCTTCCACTAGAGCAGGTGCTGGAAGATTTAAAGAAAACCCTCCCAAATCCCTGTCTGTTGGCCTTTTCTGAAAATCGAAGATGTTTCAGAGGATGCTGGACAAATGCATCTGGCCCTAAGGAACAGTTCACCCTTCCTCCACATAACTGGGAGCATTTTAGTTAGACATCTAACCTGCAGCAGAACCCATTTAACCCCAGAGAGATGCTGACTGGCAGGCAGAGTTGAAGCAGCAGGATCGCTCTTCTCATCTAATGCTGGCTCTCAAAAAGCTACAAAATATTAATCCATTCACATAGATGTGCATAGAGAGAGAAAGCCACTGTTCCCCATGAAGGTTCAGGAAGTCAAAGACACTGTCTTGTGATGGGAGTGACCTGGCCACTAGCCTACATTCATTACATACAGTCCATTTAACAAACACAGATTAGAGTCCATTTTTAAAGCTAATACCTTAGTACTGCAGCTTACATTGTGACTTCTTTAAAATGAAATGAATGAGATCTGTTTTCCTCAGGAAGATCCCCTTGGTGTTACATTTCGTGAGATACCCTTAGGAGATTTTTTCCTTCCTGGAAAAATAATGAATCTCTATTCTAACAAACCCTCCATAACCTAAAAGTCAAACTTTACATTTCCCCTTTGTGTGCATACATAGTGACAAGACATGCAGTGCAATAGGACGATGTGACAGCACATCCAAGTTTCCAATTGCCCTGGAAGCCCATGTTTCAGCAGTTGTGGCTGCTTCAAAGGGACTCAAACTTGTGATCACAGGAAAGGGCAAGGAGGTCTTTGACAAAGGAGTCCTGACAACTAATATGGGAGTATCTTCCCAACTACCGTGTTCAGCTATGTCCCCAAGCTCTCAAAAACAATGAAACAAATGGGACACTATTCCACAAAGGAAAAAGCACATTATGAAGCTCCCTATTGAGTAGTTTTCCATTGTCTTCTATCATACTGTAAGTTGCAGACAGTTTGAAGCAAAGTGGCAGCTTTACTCTATGAGCCATGAGTCCTATGTTCAACTTTATTTCTGCCTATTTTATTTTTATACTAAATCTCTAGGAATTGCAGTGAGCTGGTTGTCTTTCTATCAAATGATGATCATTATCATACAGCTATAGGCAACTTGCTGTTAGAAAACATCAAATAGCACCAAGAGCAAGATTTTCTCCCAGAGTCAGCAAGTTTTGATATGGCAGAGAGGAAACCTCTGGAAGGTCCTCAGGGTCACGTATCTCCCAGCAAGATGGGACCACAAGGATCCTGGAATATAACCACAGAGACTCTTGCACAGTCATCTAGACCTTGTGCTTTTTCAGACAGATTCTGTTCTGTCAGCCCAAGAAATTCCTTACATGAAATCTCAAAGGGCTAATTCTTCCTCTCATGACATACAAAATACACTTGTTACTAGACTGCTAGCACAGAACTAGCTTCCTCCTCACACCTTGATCCTATTAAACCCCAACCCCACTTCAGAGGAAAGCAGCTAGCAATCCACAGTCCCTGGGCAGATGTAATTCTCTTTCTTGGCAACACCTCTATTTGCCAAATAATATACCATTTCACATATATTTTTGTTTCTATGTGGGGGCAGAAAAAACAGACTGCAAATCATCCGCAAACACTCTAGCTTTCAAGACTGAAGGCACTAGCTGTTCATGGGAAGTCAGGATCTTTCCTCCAAGTTTCAAAGGAGCTGATTGGGCCAGAAATGGCATACTGACTCCTTGCAAGGCTGATCTTATCTAATGGTCAAATAAGATTCAAGCTCAGAACTCAAAACAAAGAAAAAGCCTTGAGACAGAACAAATGAAAAACAAGAGAAGAGTAGCCATTAAGATGATAAAAAGCTCATGGATGTTGAGAAACTGGGGCTAATTCAGAACCAGATGAAGTCAGGAGTGTTGACAACAGAGACTTTGCAGCCTTCTTTGGTCCTGCAACTGATTAACTCATTTCATTATTCAGGACTGTTCTTGGCCTCTTCATCAACGCTTCATTCCCACATGCCATTATCAGCACATGATAATCATCTTTGATTTGATGACATTCAGTCACCTCTGGATGACAAAAGAAAGCTATGCTACTCTCAACAGACAAATCACTTGGATTCATTTACTCATGCCTTTGTCACCTCTTGGCTGGGTTTACAGTAGTAAGGACATCAGGGCATGAAGCTGTTCAACCTATAGGACACCCTTTGCACTTCATCACCACAGAAGTGGCAGCAGCCACTGCAGCTCTCCTCTCTCCTTCATCTGCCACATAGTATTCATTTGCTTTTCAGTACTATGACCTCAGTCCAGGTTCTGGCACCTCAGCATTCCTGAAAGACAGGCCCAATTAAGAGTAATCTTTATCAGATAAGTCAAATACAGAAAGGAGGAACTCAGTGATCAGAAACAGTCTCAAAAGTGACCTTTCTGGATTAAGACTGGGCCACTTTGGTAAGGCAGCACAAAGGAAGCAGAACGTGCTAATCTATCTCCATAAGGAAAGGGCTGTAGTTTTCCAATCTGTAAAATCAGTGCCTTTCATGAACACTACAGTTGCTCCACATTTATGGCCTTCAGAATTCCTATTTGTGAAAGTGGATCTCTGACCTGTAAATTTCACATCACGGTAAGGAAGCAGCTCTCTCTCTTTCCTCCCTTTTATTTGTTCAGACCTTAAAACATTTCATTTGCCTATAAATTTGCTCAGAGACAGCCTGGGCCAAATCCTGAGATGATCACAGCCCCGCTGATGTCCGTGGAGCTCAGAGTCATCAGCCAGCTCTCACCACACTGCATCCTGTCAGTAGCTGTACCATTTACCCCCAGCTGATCCCATCACAGACAAGATTTGCTCTGAGCTCCAGCACTTACTGCAGTTCTCTGCCTTTTTGTTTCGATGAATCACTGTCTTTTGACTGGGTGTGCTGAAGAGGCTGGACCAGTTGACTGTGTGGTAATAGCACAAATTGCTGTTGTCTGTTATGTAGATGTTGCCAGCACTGATCTGCTTCAAGGACTGAAACTGCAGAGAAGTAATGCCTTGTTGCTTTAGGATGAGTAAGGAAAGACCACTGTGATGAAAACGAAAGAGAGAACAGGAATTAACTCCAGAAGGCAGAACTGGTTGGGAATTTCACACTAGAATTAGTTACTACTGTCAAAATGATCTTTCTTGCAAAACTGAAATTTGGTCAAAAACCTATTTTGGGGTAACAAATATTCAACTCCTTCCAGTTCAACCATTAACATATTTTTGAGATAAATCAAAATCTTTTTCAGTTTCCTCAATTTTGCTGTTGAGGAAACTGAATAAGATCCTGATTTTCCCCCCCAACAGAATTAATGCTATGATAGTTTCTATGCTAAGGAGAAACTGACAAAGTCATGCAAAATGTATTAACATCTTCTGTCAGGCATCAAATTAGTATCATTCATACTAATACAGGAAGAAATTGTTATTTTCAAGGAAATTTTTCCAGCCCACTTTCTACATTTCATTTTTCTTTTGTTGTAATATGTGGTTATCGCCTTTCTTCATCAAATGAACAGTAAGTGATTGTCTGTGTAACATGGAAATGACTGCACATTTTTTATGACTGAAGATTAGTGAAGACAATATGCAGTTTCTGGGCATCCTTTAAGTTATTGTATTTTAATGATTATAATTGTTTTCCAGCTGTTCCAAATAAAAATTGCTGCTTCGAAACAGAATGCTGGGCTGTAACTCAACCTCCAGGTTTCACTGCTATTCCCATTAAGCTTGGCTTGCTGTTTAAGATGCCAGCAGAATCCCATGACTGCTTTCCTATATTCACACAATGGGGAATGAGGGGTTGCTGTACGTACCATTCAGGTACCTTCTTGTGCTTCCCCCGTTATTTCTCACCACATATTTTCTCTTCAAACCAATTCTCCCATAAGAGCTTTCATTTGGAAACATTTCTGGTAAAAACGGCTCTACAGAGCTAACATACACCCCACATGCCAGGCACCTCAGGGTCTCAGAATTCAGATGTATTGATCTTTTACTGCTTCTTAGGACCACATTGTTCTGTCAGCATGTGAACCTGCACTTCCAATCACAGCCACTTAAACTTACCAAGAATGCGGTTAAGCTCTCCTATTAATGTCTTCTAAGTTGTTTTACATTCACAAGGTATTTTAAACTGAAATGTACTTTCCAGACAATGTGTTAATAGCTGCAGCAATGAACCAAGATGTTATTTATTCATTTTTAAATCATTACATTCAATATGTATTATCCATTATAAATAACTGATTAGCAAAGATACTGTTCATGAATACCTCAGTTACAGAGAAAAATATATCAATTTATGATGCCCTTCCCAAAGGATCTTGCATTCTGTGCTGCTGCACAAAGAATTACTGAATACTAATAAAAATAATTTCATCAACAGAGTAGGTACCTTACCTATAGAGGGCTCTTCCACCAATAGTAACTAAGTTAGAAAACACCCTGAAATCTGTCATATTCTCAGGCCATGACTGGATGTTCAAATACCCTGAAGGAGAAAAAGGCAAGCACATGCATGTCAGGGATTTCAGCCATAAACATTGCTCTATTGCATACATGAGTTAGGACAGGTTTAGCCTATAAATGAAAGACAGTGCTGGTTTGAGAAAAAGAAATAAACAGGTAATGAATGCTGCAGACTAATGTCTTCGAATTCATCAGGTTGCTCTCCTCCAAGAAAGCGAATGAAGTCTCATCACAGCAGCATTACATTCACTTTCAACAGCCACAGTGAGGGTGAACCCAAACACAGGCTGGAATCTTGCAATGCCTCCCAGCCTTTTCTGAACAGCAGCAGCAGAAAAGAATGAAGATTTGCCTGAATTAAGAACATTCCATTTTAAAATGTGCTAGACACTTTGGACAGCAGTTGAGAGATCTGTCATGATTCGTTAAAAGATGACAAGGCTTTCCTAAAACAAAGACTTTGCATTCACTTCTATGAGTGTGTGAGGACTCTTCATCACCAGAGAACATTCTCTGCACAAGTATGTGGGACTAACGATTTTGTGCTACACAGACCTCTATATACTGCAGTTCCCTATGATTTTGATTCCGTAGTGGACAGAAATGCAGCACATCTTTAAGGACAGGAGTAATTATTACTTAAGTAGTAGAACTGAGACTGTCAAATAGTGTGTTTACGAATGGGAAATGACACACATCCAGTTGTCAGGTTATCTTTGACATTCATTAAGGAGAAACTGAGAGTTTACTTGCATTTTTAACCCCCTTGCTTTGCTGAAATACACAGTTTTTGAGAGCTCCCACGAAGCACATGAGAGAGAAGTCATTTCAAATTTGTGGCAGCATCTTCTGCTAGACCAAGAGAAGTAGCAGCAAAAGCAGATTGGCTTTGTTTTCCAAGGCATATTTCAAATGCTTTTAGGTGAAGACAATACTTTCCCACATTTCAGCACCATTTTCCTCACCAGGTGCCCCTCTTGCAACACTTGCCCTACTTTGTTAGCATGGGACCAAGACCCCTGGACCACTTACCAAACACAAGATTCATGAATACAGAATGCCCATTATGTTTGGGGTACACAAACATCAGAAGACCAAGACCCCAAACATAATGGGCATTCTGTATTCACAAATCTTGTGTTTTTCAGAAAACCCAACAAATGACAACCACAGAAGCAAAGTGAGAAGTTCAGATTGTAGGAAATCAGAAGCGTGTTACCTGTTATCTCTCTCACTGTTTGGAAGATATTTAATTTCTCTGGATTGATTGCAGCAATTGTGTGATATGGGTCTCTGAAAGATTAAAAGCACAAAATGTGATGCTCTAAATAAAAAAAGAAGCAGATTCTCAAAGACGCAGCATGTAGAAAGCAGTATTCAGGAGTATTCATTTTGCTTTTAGGCACATGTGCCAGGTGTCTTTAGACTGTTTCCAACTTCTTCAGACTGTTGATCCTGCAGAACCTGTATCTAACTTCTCCCAAGTCATCTTGAATGAAAATAATGGTGCTTAACAACTTCAAGGTTTAAATTACTAGTGTTTCAACAGATATTTCTGCTCATGAAGAATTAAGGGATTCTAAATAACCAGGGGTAACCACCCTAAAGGAAAGATGAATATTCAACATTTTTCCCAGGAATACTAGTTCAGCTGGGATACCATACTACCAGTGACAAAATATAAGCAAAACAAACCAAAGAGCATGCCACCAGCTCCTGACACATAACACTGCAAGGGTAAACTGTTTAAAGGTGTTGAACAGAGAACATCAAAAGCACAGATCCATGCCAAGCAAGTTTGCCACCTAAGAAATGAAATACCCCATCAAGCTTTAAAATATCGAAGTTAGATGTGCTACAGTGTAAAAAGGCAAACCTGATCTTGATTTTGAGAGTGTAAGTACATTTAGTAAGTAGGTTTTTTTTGTTTCCCTAATTTTAAAGGAGTAAAGACTCTCCAACTATTTAAGAGGCCAACTAGAAGCTTAACCTGAACAAATATCCTTTCAAAATCCTTCTGTAACACCATATTACAGTATGTCATGTGTTTTCTGAGTGCAGGAAAGATCTTCAGTAAATGTGAAGCATGCATTACCACTTCTAGACTTATCTAGACTAGATAACAAGTTTTTACTATGTAAGAAAAACACAGAACTTAGCTTTTAAAATGTATTACTGCTGAATATTGAAAACCCTTGTCTGTAATAAACATAAGCTTGCTGAATTTCACCTCAAAATCCTAAGATAAAGTAGTCTTTAGAGATACAAATATACACTTAAACCCCTTAAACAGCCAAATGTCTGCTACGTTTTATCCACATATAGAACTGTAGAATAATGAAGTCATCTTCTACCATTCTTATTAGCAGAGCCAGGATTTTTCAGTAGAACAGACACAGCTGAACTGATCCAAGAATGAGAGTTTCAGCTCATTGTGAAACTGGAGATGGACAACTAAAAGGAAAATAAAGAGCTAGTGAGCACTGAGGGTTTGCTGCAGGGCAAGGAGGATAAGGCGGCAACATTTGCTGTTAGATGCATCTGTCCATTCTCAAAACTACAGCTCCCCTTGGTGTGTCCCACCCATTCACAGGCAGCAACACAAGCAGAAGCAGCTTGGTGTTTTAGCAGCCCAACCAGAAGAAAACAGTAGAAAGAAGGCTACATCCAACCTATATAGGTCCTACCCCTTTCCCAGCCACTGTGTTTTCTGTCCCAGACAGCAGATATGTCCCCTAATAAGGATCATTTTATCCATACACTTTAGCAGAGCATTACCTTAGAAGAATGAGTACTACTGACTCACCAAATTTAGGTCTACTTTCATCACACTTAACATCTGGATATTAATTAAGGCCAGATCATAATTATTTGATTTATATAAGAACTATTACAAATGACTGTGTATAAAACAAATTCATAATGATATGTACAGTAATTTATAAAATAAACTACAAATTCACAAAGACTTGAAGTTCAGGTACTTGGGAAAGAGGCTAAAGAACCACAGGCTTAAAACCATGATGAGATCAATTGTAGTATCACAGTTCCCTATGAAAACAAACCCCCAAAATTCACTCAGCATCTTTCACAAAGTTATTTTCTGACACTACAAGAAAATCTTTCAATTCCCCACAGAGAGCTAGACTTTAAAGTCCCTCCAATCTGAAACACTGGAAGTTCATACTTCTGAAAGCTGCATTTCACTCTGGGTAAATGAATTTGTAACAGAACTAACAGGTTGCAGTGGAAATAAATATATTTATATATCTACATCTGTATCTTTATCTATATTTCTATATCTATACCTACATCGATATCTATATCTATTACTGTTGTTGCTCTGTACTGTCCATTTATATAACAAACTACTTGTGTTGCTCCTGTCATTCACTCAAATTCCTTTCCTGTATCACTGATGTGCAAAATATAACAGAAATGTTAAAGAAAAGGCTGTTTCAGAAATACAAAGTTATTTTAATTAATTCTCAACTCTTCTTCCCTTCTTTTAATATGTACTACTGGAAATATTTAGGGTTGCAGAATTCAGTGTCCATATAATTAAGCCTTGTTGGAGTGAGTTTTCTTCATAGAGAACGAAAGACAAAGTGCTACACAATTTAAACATAACATGTCCTAGGTTTATATTCTTCCATTAAGCTAGAACAAAGTATTTTAACCCTCTGCTTTATAGTTCATGTTTTAGATATCTTTTTCAGATGAATATGATTTTACCCAAGGTTGGTTTGGATTCCTTGAACTTAGACAGATCTTTTAATAAGACTCACCTTGTAACTTTGCAACTAATAAAAACTTCTGCAACAGTTCGCATGTTCAAAATGACATTTAATGCACTGGAGTAATCCCTACAAAATTGCTCATGTGCTCTAGATACTTGCCCTGCATTTACTAGAGTGTTCTGTCCTGTGAGATTTAATAGATTTACACTCAGCCCTTCGACTGGTCATTTGGCCGTATCAGAAGTGTGATGGTCTGGGAGCTGAGTGTGACCTTCTCCAGGGTTTCAACAAGTTCAAAAGCACCACTGCCTTAAACCACTTGAAACAAAGTCCTTCTTCCTCCCTGTGTTACATTAACTTTCACACTGTACTCCCTGCTGGAGAGATGAGATGAACAATGCAGTCAAAGCTCACATTTGCTGGCCTTTTGAGAACCATTGAGCTGTAGGGCCCTGCTGAAGTGGATTTTCAACTCTTTCTCATGGCTGGACTCAAGCTGTAGGAGAAGCATTATAACCAATAACTATATCAAATCAAGGAAACAAGCTGGTTGGTTCCACCTCACCTAGTAGGGAAAAACCAGCCAGGTAGCCTAGTGTCAACCCCATTATTATAACCTAAGCATACCTCAATCTATAGAAAGACTAAAGAAAAATCTGGTGGCACTAATGACACCAGAATTCCATGTCAGATCAACCTACAGATATTCAGCTAATCACATCTTCGCTATGCCATAAAGGTGCAAACATGGAATTGGTTTGGGAACTATATTTAAGATATCAAATCTTGACAACCAGTTGCAAGCAATGTTGAAAGCTCTGAGGAACCTAAAAAACAAGTTAAAATTTGAAGCCTACGCAGTGGTAGAAGCAATTGAGTACTTCACACTGTTAAAGTACCACAAAATATCTGCATACTTATCACAGTAAAGGGGAAAAAGGCTTTAATCTTATTTGTGCATTTTGAGGACCAATACCTCAAAGTGTCACATGTAATTCACCATGGCTGATTACAACATGAAAGCTTGAATTAGTAAGAAGGTACAATCATATGCTTGTTCTCCCAACGACAAAGAACACAATGTAAGAATGCAGTCATTGCATGGGACCTCACCTCACAATCAAAACAATACATCTGTCTTCCCTGGACACATCCCACCCTTACAGCATTTGCACCATTCATGCATCTTTGTGATAAGGGTTAGCACACAGTGCACCAAACCACCAGCAGCAAGGCACTAGTGTTCTGGCTGAAATACTGTCCTTTAGAAGAAAACCTTAGTGTGACTTTGTAAACACTGGTTCTGTAACTCCACATCTTCAACCATTACTAAGACTTGTGCAATATACAGTCATATTTAAACCAAACTACTGGATTTAAATACCAGTGGGTATTGTGTACCTCTGCAATTGAAACTGGAATATATACATCAAAGCTCATTGACAAGAGGGCAGCCTTTTCGCATGTATATGCGGAGACAGCCACTCAGGCTACAACAATTTCTCTTAGGTGAGGGGCTCTCTCTGCATATTCTGCACATTAGACCTGTTGGTCATAGGAAACTTAAAACAAACTAATTGGAGGTAACTTCCCTTTCTCCCTTCTATTCTCTAATCAGCCGTTATTGTAAGCTGTCCTGGATTCAGCCAGTTCTGAGGATCTCATAAGGTAACAAAGATCAGTCATCTTTTCTCTTTCTAGTGCAAACAGCCTACTTCATCCTTTCTTTTCCTAGAAGTTGAATCATAAGAATCAAGGTAACAGTTTCTTTCATAATCCAAGGCAGGAAAATGATTTATCCTGGATCTGCTATCACGTAAAAGCAGCCTGAGGTCATCATTAAAAGGTGGCTGCAATTCATTTCAGCTGGCACCATGACATAACATCTTAACATTTTGTCACTTACCCATGAATCCCAGTAACAAGGAAGATAAGGTTGCCATTGATCTTGGTGCAGTTTATGAACTTGTCAATGTTGCTGGAATCCACTGTCTGAGCTGACACTAAACTCCCTGTTCCAATGCCATCACATGCTGCCAAAACAAGGAGTTTGTGTAAATAACCAGGAAAAACAGTTATTGAATCAGAACACGAGTCTTCATTTCTTTCAGACATGAAAGCAGCAGAGGTGTTAAAACAGCACCCTTTACCCATATTCTTAAGGAAGCACATGTCAATTTAAAACAAACGATAAGCTAAATTAGCTCTCACAGAAGCGCATCCTGGCATACAGGTTAAGATATTTCACACTGCACCTAAATGCAAGTGCAAAACGCACAATATCCCCACTCAAGCCTTCCATCACGTAATGCATCCTATCTCCCCAGCTGGTCTCCTCTAATAGCAACTACCAGCAGTACACGTAAACATTTAAAAAACCTGTGATAACTTCCCTCCTCACAGGCTAAGAGCTTGACAGGAACACTACACATGTATTTTCATGCATGAAACTATTTATCCAGCAAACATGTTATTTGTTGAAATTAGGTTAAAGGGCTGGATATCGCCTTCACTTAGAATTCAGCATGTCAGTACCCTGCCTAGGCAGGGATCTCTGTATTTGACTGTTTCAGCCACACGGAGTTAACTGATGATTTACACCATACTTCAGTAGCTTCACTGTGAATCCCTTCCAGATACGGCTTCCACTAGGACTGAAAAGTGGCATAGGCCCATGTGGGAAAACTGATGGTGCTTTGCTCCTGAGACCTTTGAGCAGGGAGCAGAAAGTCTCCCCAGTGGAGCTTTAGACAGCAAAGTAAGCTATAGATTTCCATCTTCTCAACAGTACCATCACTGAAAAAATCCTAGCCTACATTTTAGACATTTTGGAAGGAGGTAGAAAATGCTCAGAGACATTTTTGAAAACCAGAGGAAATAAATGGAAATCTAACATTACATTGACAAGTATGAGACATATCATACATTGAAGCCAGTGCTTTAGAATGGCCCTCTTTGGAATGTCAAAAGGACAGCTCTGAAACACTTCCAGGAAATACCTATCATTAAAATACCATAATAAAGAATTCTTTCAGATTTCTGTAAAACCAACGGAGAAATAACCATCATTTTTATCTAACCAAATGTAATTAGTTTGGTTATATTTCTATTACAACATCATAGATTTTAATTCTGTTCATATTCTTCACACAGGCTATACAGCTCAAAGTTCTGTGCGCATCCAAAGGCTATTAATATTCTTCAATGTATTCATGAAGGGTATTTCAGGCCAAAAAAATACTCCGCTTTGCTCTGCTACAGCATTGACTACATTCAAGGAAGTTTATACTGAACTACTGCTTACCTTTAGGACAAATGTCAGTGCAGGGCTTGCACATCTTAATACCATTTTCTTCAACCTCCATCTTGGAGCTTGGACACGCACGGACACAAGAGCTAGAATCTACCACAAAGTTGTCTGAAGAGAAAAGAAGGTATTGTCAGAAAGTGAACCACTGGGCTAAATAATACTGGGACACATGGTTTTGGACTCTGTCAATACTATTAATTACCTCAGCACTTCCACACTGACATTAATGTTTCACGTTCAGTGTTTTCAGAAGTGTATTACTATTTGTAGCAAAGGAAGCTACAGTAATTAGAGAGAAATAAACAAGATGCTCTGCCCTGTCTCTTTCATAAACACACACAAACATATACATTTGGGATAAAATACTGCTCAAAATGACAAGTATTTCAATTTTGCCTTGTAAAAAAACTGCCAAAGGGGATATAGACTGATCATACCTAACTGTCAGCTTAATACTGTCAAGAAAGGAAAAATAAAGGGAAAATGTTCAACTAAGTATTTGGACAAAGACTCGTAGCCCTTAAGTAGTGCATAGTAAAAACACCAACAAAAAAAATCGTGCTTCAAAACCCCACCATTCTATTATAGACAGAACTAAGCTTTGACAGTGACAGCTTCAGCCCACTGTCAATCTGAACTTCTCCACAGAGATTCAAAATCTGGATTTTGCTTTCAGTTCAATTATGGTTCCATTTATTATAGATTACTCATCCTTCTTATATGTAATTTATGGATAAAATAATTAATGCACAGCACAACTGTAAACCTTGGTGGGAATGCAAGAGAGGCCAAGAACACTGTCTCCCTTATTTTCCTTACTAAAACAGCACTATCCAACTGCGTAAGTGATGACCCTCTATGTTTTTCTGTTACTTGTCATCATCTGTCTGGTATCTCAGAAGCATGTGGCTTCTAGATACACGGGATTATTCTTTTTAACTCCCACTTCCTTTCTAATTTTACTCTGGGGCTTTAAGATTGTACAGTCAGTACTACATGGGTTTTCCTCACTGGGACAGCACTGCTCAGAAAATATTTATGGTAACTTTCTGTCACAGAATCACAGAATGGTTTGGGTTGGAAGGGACTTTAAGATCACCCAGTTCCAACCCCCTGCGTATGGGTAGGGATGCCTCCCACTAGAGCATATCACTCAAGGCTCTGTCCATCCTGGCCTTGAACACTGCCAGGGATGGAGCCTTTACCACTTCTTTGGGCACCCTGTTCCAGCACCTCATCACCCTCACAGTAAATAACTTCTTCCTTAGATCTAACTTGAACTTCCCCTGTTTTATTTTAAACCCATTACTCCTTGTCAAACCATCATTGTTCCAAGTTAAGAAAAGGGCCTCACTCTCATGAAAGCATTTGGTACTGGCTAGTACAGGTGGTAGTGCATTGTTACTTTTCTGAAGCAGAAATTTATAGCCTTTTATAATCCCAGTAACTATTTTAACAGTTCATTTAGATCATGCTGATCTAGAGCACAAATGCTGGTCTAATGGTGGTAGGAAAAAAAAGAAACCTAGTGTATTCCCTTTTTGTTTTTTTAAGAAAATCACTATAGGGTAAGTGGGAATTGTCACCAACCCAGAATTTCCCTGCCTTTAGTTAATACATGACTTATTACAGGCTGCAAGCACATGTGGAGTGATTTGAGATACTGCACTGTGCACTTAGCTCTCATTGTCTCACTGCTTTGTTCAGCTCCTGAAATGTAACTCACACTCCCCATCCCTGCAGGAAAAAGCAGGTAACGCAGCACTTACGTGGGCACTTTTTGACACAAAAAGCCCCATAGGTGTACTTGGCATTGTGATTGTGCTCCAGCTGGAAGGTGGTAGGATTGTATACAAAAGTCTGGGGGCACTGTGTGACACATGCACCACTGTCATTGAAATTCATACAGGCCTGCAAAACAAGGGAGAAGAAACCAGTAAAGTCAATCATATAGCTGCCTTTGTTTGGGTTTTGTTGTTTTGGTTGGTTGGTTGGTCGTTTTTAGTTTAAACCACAGTCTTGATGGTTCAGACTTGCTGCAACAGTGAGGAGTGCGATATATAGTTTTCTGGCCTTCATTTTGGCTGCTTAGATTTCTTGCTAGGATCTTGGCTAATCCAAGACTTACAAAAGGGGACTCACTAAGTCCCTTTCGTTTGAAATACGGTTGACTGTTACAGCACTTCCCACAAAAACATAACAACACTGTAATTTGTTTCATAACTGTTGTTACTACCAGCAATTAACTAATTCACAACTTGATAGGACATTCTAAAACTGCCAAGAGTGAACTACTATTTATCATAGTCAGTCTAAACAAATGCTAATGACTTTTCAGAGGTCCAATCTTTAGATTTCTTACAGCATGAGTCCATCGCCAGCTGAAAACTGAAATTCCCAATTAGAAAGCAAGAGGGATAAAAACTTCTTTTGAGCTAGCACAGGAGGGAGTCATTTCCCTAAGTGGCAAGTTTAACAAGGTCAGTTGCTTCACACACTGAGAAAAGAAAATAGGACTCTGTATCACTTAGCATTCAAGCTCAGCCACCCACAGCTGACAGAGGACAGGGCCCTGACAAATGAAGAGGCAAGTGTGTGGATAAAGAAAGTAACGGTATGCAGGGAAAATAATTGACCATGCAAGACTGATAATTACTAATAGAAAACCCCCACTGATTTTGACACTCCTTATCACCACATATTGTGTCTATGGCTTTAACCACAGCTTATACAAAACTGTTGGAGTAATATTCACAAAGCATACCATAAATGAACAAGTTCAGATGAATATGAAAGCTGTAGCCAGGCTTGGATCCCTCTAACAGTTTAAGCAACCGCTGCTACTGGATACCGCTTCCCCACTAACCCGTCTTCCAGAAGCCAGGCTGCTTCATAAGTTTAATTAAGGGATGAAGCCTTTTGGTACGTTTCCAGGTTGTAAAACATACAAATGGTTTTGACACTTTAGAGTCAGCAATATAGCAACATGTGTCCCCTCCCCTCCAGGGCTGGGATTGTGAGAGAAAAAGTGGAAAAGATTTCTCTGTTCTGCTGCTTTTATCTACATTCAGATCAGGACCAGCAGGACCGAGGGAAGTTACTTGTCATGTTAAAAGATTTCAGAAGGGAGAGACTAATAATGTAACCAAGGGAGAAGGACAAAATCTGCTGCTGAAAGGGACAAACAGGGAGTTCCATGATGAACGCACTGTCCTATTTGGAGCATGAGCTAAGCCAAACTGCTGATCCTGTCTTTTCTGGTTCTTTACAACGCGTATTATAAAACCAGTCAGTTTCTCACTGAACCAGTTTTCCTTTCTTTCTTACAAAGACAAATACAGTCAGTTATGTTTTTACTAAGAACTGGATGGGAAATCCTCCCTAGAAATAGGGTTGTGTCACTTTCCTGGGGTACGATTAGGCACTCACAGACCCTCCTATACGTTTCACATTTTAGATCCAGTTTGAGTTTGAATGCAACAAAAGAGCATCTCTAAAACTTTGGTTTAGCATGTTTGCTTGCAGGATGTCAGATGATTATTATTGTCTTGCTCTTAGAACTGAATATGTAAATGATTGTATGGCAGCATATGGAGGAGGATGGATGAATTTTATCTAGAAATATTAAAACCATATTTACAACAGGACGTTATTGCAAGCTGCTGTAATACGCTAAAGGATTTGCAATGCTTCATAAACTGAACTTCTGCTTATTAATAACTACTGATTTAGTTTATTTCCTCAACACATTTTTTACATCCACTGTTGACTTAAAAGGTACTTTATCACACATATGACAACCCTTTAATAATGGTTTAGCAATTTCATAAAGTAAAGCATACCAATACTCTTTGGAGAGATGGCATTTCTCAGGAAAAGCTCAACTAGAAGATTTGGGAACTTGTAATTTGTGACTAGAATACTTTGTATACATTTGTATATGCAAACTTCTAGCATTTGGTGCTTAATGCTGCTGATTAGTGAATGAAAGCACAGGAAAATATACAAGGCAAAACTAAAGTTCTGTACCTCAGCTGACAGCTAAGCACAGTTGTCTACAGCCTAAAGGGTTACACTTTTCTCCCAGTGTGTATTAAGCAAGTAATGATTAGTTCTGAAAATTGCCAGACCCCTGCTGAATTTCTTTTACATTGCTCTTGGGCCAGGAGTGAATGAGAATAAAGCTCTGGGTGCTTCTCTGCTGGATCAGAACAAACACACCAGTTGATTTTTTAGCATATGTATTTCTATAACTGCCACAATTGAGAAAGTCTAACTCATTTTCTTTCAGGATGCAGTACTACAGAACTTACGCTGTGAATAACTTGTCCTTGACCTTTGAAAACAGACTCATATCAACACGTAAGATTTGAGGATGCTCCTCAACAGACATATGGGAACAGTAACTGCATCCTTCCTCTTTCCTTTACCTATTTAGATTGTACATGACTTGGGAAAGAATGTTATTTCCCCATTTCTCTAGTCCAAATACAACACAGTACTTCCAGTGAGTGTTGGATCAGGTGTACCACATGTATGGAATATCTACTTGTGCAAACCACAGCCACAAAGATCAGCTTTAGTAAAACCTTAGCAGTTACATCAAGCCATCACTCCACTTCAGCAGCAGCAAAAGAACAGCATTTAGAATGTGGTTTTGAAGCACAATACCTACTGCTATCAAATGATACCTGAACAGCGAGCAAGTTTCAGGTCCAAGCAGGGGAAAATTAATTTTGGCCCATTCATTATGATATGCTTGTTTACACTATCAACACATCTGCAATTTGCCCTAAGATCCCTCCTCCCAATCCTTGTAAAAGGAGCCTACTCAATTTCACAGATACTTGTCTGTTCAGTCAGTTGGGTACCTCTGAAAATCCACCTCTCTAGTTCTAGGCTTCTTCAGGCCTAGGTGTGCTTCGCTGAAAACATTAGCAAAACTTGCCTTTGCGTGATGAGCTGCACATTTTTTGAGATCAGTGCTGGATCTGAAGCTGCTTTACGCTACTCCAGATAACTGACTACATGGAAGACAAATTCGTCTAAAGGCCTCTATGTTCAGACTATTTTTTTTAGGAAAAAGTTAGCCTCTTCCTCTTTTCATCTAAAGCACATGCAGTAGCACACATTTGAGGTAGAGTTTTTTTGAAACCTATTTCTTTCCATCTCCACTAAGAAGCATGCCCAGTAAGAAAGCTGTATTTAAATCAAGCCTGGCAGTAGCAGGAAATACCTTCCACAGAGAAGCTAAATTGTATTCTTGACTTTCAAATAAAAAAGCACACAGAGCAGCAATAAAAGCCGTGCTCAAATGTAATGATAAATACTTCTAAAAATTCCCTATAAAAGTTAGAAAAAGCAAAAGATAAAAATCACAGAGATTAGCATATTAACGGTTCCCAATCTGTATTTACAGATCTTATAAATCTGTTAATGGGTAATATTAAGTAGATAATGTGATGTTAATATAATGTGAGAATATTAAATGCTAAAATTTGCAGTCTGAATCTGGGAGTGTGCATGCAATACATTAAAAGGGACAAAACTGTAAATTTAATGGATTAAAGCATTAAGGATTTGCAGTGTGACTGCCAGGAAGAAGAAAAATGAGAACTCTCACACATACAAAGCAATCAGTGTCTTTAGGTCCAGAACAGCCTCCAGCGCACTCCCGGTGGCAGCAGTCGCTGACATAGGGCCCGTAGCACCGTCCATCACATTGCTCTGCACACACTGTCTTCGTTACTAGGAGGAGGCAGGGAAAATGATCATGTCAGAATCAGAGCTAAGAAGAGAGCTCTTCAACAGCACACTGAGAAAGAGAACAAACCGAACAGCATACGGAATAAAAGCTCAAGTTTTAAGGGAGTTGCTTCAATGGTACTGGCCATTCATATCCACCTTCACAATACCCTCTTTAGGAACATACACTTTGCTCAAGGACTGAGGAGGATGAATTTTAAAGTGTTTGCTCTCACCCTTGGAAATTCATGTGGAATATTATTTTCACATTAATAGTTTCTGTAAATGGGACATGAAAAAAAAAGGCCCACAAAATAGCATAAACATCCACCAGTTCCATGTGAGTTTTCCCCCATGAAGAACAGCACCATTGAGTACATGAGTGAAATTCAGAGGGAGGCCAGCAATCCCAGAGTCAAATACTGCTCGTGATGGCAACCAATCCGACAAGCAGTCGATGAGGTAACAGAACAGAAAACAACCTGCAGATTGGAACACATTTGGAAACACCACCTACCTTTTTGAAATAACACAGTCCTGCCTTCATTCATCCAGGGCAACAACTACATTCTACCAACTGGAAAGCACAGTGATTGAAGTGGTACCACACTACAGTACTTGAAGGCTTAGTCTTGTGCAAAGGATGGTGAACAGGTGGAGAATCTCCCTCCCTTCACTCACTTATAGCCTCTATCTTTATTTTACAGAAAAAGCAATTATTATCCACAGGACTACACCAGCCACCACTTACAGAATGCCAGGAAGCTGTGCTGTTGGCTGCCTTTTGATAAAACCAGGGACATTCCACTTCTGCAATTAACCTTTAACATATATTTTGTTAATTACTCCTCTACAGAAAACACTTTTCAAGAAGCCAGAGAACACAGAATTCCGTCCAACTTTCTGCTCTACTATTCTACTATTTCATGTATCAGTAACTCCTTTATAAGTACTTTCCAATCCAAATTCCCTCCACTATTTGCCAGAAATACTTGAGTAATGCCAAAGCTTCTTGATATACACAATATTTACTTAGGACATAAAAATGAAATAACTGTAGAGGGAAGTCATCATTTATAATCTATGGAATAAAGCAATGTACTTTTAGAGTAATTCCATCTTGCTGGTACCAGAGGCAACCCCCCAGACAGAAAACACTTCTGTGCCTTATGCAATCTAATTGAAGAGGTACAGGAAATGTCTGTAAATGCACTTGCTGTCAGCACTGCTAGAGAAACAGATTAAAAGGATTTGTTTATTTGAGTAACACTGCTGATAAACGTTAGGACAGAAAGATGAAACAGTGGCATATGTTAAGCAAAACACACATTGCAGTGTGGTGTTAAGCAAAACACCACACCACTAGCTGATAGGCACAGAGTCTCATCTCATGAAAACAAAGACCTCATTTATTCAGTGAGTGCATGTTGTTTTCTGCCAGTTGAGAAACTGGCCCCTAGCACCTGGATGTGCCCTGGACTAGGCACTAACTGCTTCCTATCTAACTAACTGCTAACTAACTGCAAAGGGAGGCAAGGCACAGATTTATCCTGACATCTGACTATTTGCCAGTCTCCCCCTCTGCCAGCAGCGAAGAGGCACAGAAGCAGAGGACATTCATTTCATTTTCCCCCACAACCCAAATCAAATAGAAACGGGAGACTGAGATGAGCTCTTAGGCAGAAGTTCTTCCCTGTGAGGGTGCTGAGGCGCTGGCACAGGGTGCCCAGAGAAGCTGTGGCTGCCCCATCCCTGGCAGTGTTCAAGGCCAGGTTGGACACAGGGGCTTGGAGCAACCTGCTCTAGTGGAAGGTGTCCCTGCCTGTGGCAGGGGTTGGAACCAGATAAGCTTTAAGGTCCCTTCCAACCCACTCTGTGATTCTATGAAATCCTCTGGGCTTACCTCTGTCACTCCTCAGTCATGGAGCTGTCCCCTGAGCCAAGAGGACAGAATCCAAACACTGCCTCCCTTTTGCACAGCAACTGTTCATGGCCTCATTTGTTAAAATGCCTCCTCCTCTGTCACCTCCTCTTTCTGCCCCTCAGGCTGGTGCTACCGCAGCCATGCACTGGAACACTCCTGACGGCAGCCCCTCCCTCATGGCACGCTCAGGGCACCCCTCTGTGGCACACAGGCTCAGTGCCCCCTTACAGAAGGTTCCGCAGGCAGAGGGTGCAGTGCTCGGGTTCCCCTCACCAGCACACACACCCCTCCATCACACCCTACAAAACTACTGTGCACCAGCAGCATATTTCTGTCTTTGTTTCTTTTTGGGTCCTTTTTGAGCCTAAGGAGCTAAATTTCGTGTGGACACAATCAATGTTGTTACAACAGGAAAAGAGGACAAGACACACCACCATGGGTGCTCACTGGTGGGATGCTGTTAAAAAGCATTCCTCACCATAGCTCCACAGCAACTTCACACTGTTTAAAGCTGGTGTAAAGCACCTCTGTGCAGTCAATGAGTACAAGCCACCTCATTAACTCAATTATAATTTCTTTACCTCAGTGCCAGCTGCTGTTGGGAGCTGGTCAAAGTGTCCACCATCACCATATAATCATTGCTTCCCTGCTGAGGAGCTTTCCTGGCAGGCTTTTAGAAGGGCAAAGGGGCTGAGGCCTAAGCAGCATGTCCTGTACCATCGGCTGCCAGAGGCACTGGGAATCATCCACTGCTGCTTCCCAAAAAACCAGCCCTGAGGGGGATGAATTCCTGCCTCTCCCATGCTTGGTGTCCATGCTCGCAAACCATACTGACCAGCCCTGGGCATATCCAGCAAAGGCACCCTCTTCTCATCAGCCCACAAGTTATTACTTCCAGTTGCCGAGACCTGTATTTGCAGGATGACACACTCCTTTCAAGCTGAGCTGCAGATAATGACACTTCCCAAGGCTGAGCAGTTTAAACAGTGGTGGGGAACAAGCTCCAACAACAGCAATGGATTTAAGCAATTTACTGATATCTTTTCAGCAGTTTTCACACTATTAGGCTAGGACAAAGCCTTCGCCGTTATTCAGCTTCCTCTAGAGCCCCACAGGAAGCCTTGTGCAATGGATAAGGTTACAGATACTGTAATTTCTATTCTTAAAATTCCCTAAGAGACTACACCAATGTATTCCAGAGTAAAGCAAGAGAACCCCCTGCACCAAGGCTGACTGGAGGGATATGGCTCCCTTTTCAACACAGCACACTCTGCTTATGATTAGATGCCAGCTGAATGAGGGCCTCTATCACGCTGTTCAGGATAGGGACCATTTGGGGTTTTTCTCAAGACTAGAAATAATAAATAGTTTTGCAGAATTTACAATTACAGCAATGGTTTATCACTGCTCTTCCCTAAGTGTTTATCTTGCTTGTAACGCAAACGATGCCAACAGAAATGCCAACATTTCACACTAGGAAAAGGCCACAACATAGTGTATTTCTCTTCTGGTTCAGGGCATGCTGAATTTGCACCATAAGTGCGATTGAGGATGAGGTTCTGGAAGGGCCTATCAGATACTTAAGTGATAACACGCACCAAGCCAGAGAAGAGCTTAGAGGGCTCTGAATGTTTTTAAGGGCTCATATTCAAGACAGTTTGCAGTGAAGGGTTTTCCCCAAAGCAAATCAAATCAAAGTCAATAGTGGGTACTTTCTGAAGACCCAAAACAATCTGATTGTTCAGATTCCAATGAACCTAACTCACAGTTCAGGTTCCTGCAGTCATTATCATGGGGTGACCCTATAGCAAATGTACATAGAGCCACACCGGTTTCAAGAGATAGAAAGCTTTTTCACAACAAACTTTCCTCCAAATGAATCAACTGATTTTATAGCTGTGACTCAATATATGAAAGAGTGAAACGCATAGGTAAGTATTACCCAAAATATATCAAGCTATATGCTCAGACTGATGAATGTTGGTGAGTGGCTCCTAGAGGGGCCACATGGCTTGAGAGTGCCAGATACTTGTTTCTTCACCCAGCATAACTGCTGGGTGACAGCCAAGTCAAATCAGACTTGAGGCTCAGCACGACTACCCGCCCTAACACGCGCTGACCCTCAGTGGGATCCCAAGATACCTGACACAGAACTGTCACAGCTGGAACCAGGACAGCAAAGGGCAAACACCAAGGTCTTGAAAAAGCGTGCCATGTGTTGGGATGGGTTTCAGTGATGAAGTAATAAGCTGTGTTGGGGACAGGGTGGAATGAGCACTTCTTATATGTGTGCAGTTAATCAGTCTCCTTAATTAAAGATTAAGGGAAACAATAATGTCAGGGCACTATAAATCTATGACGAAAAAACGGGAAGTAACTGAAATCAATGAAAAAGTCTTCTGAACATGCACAGTTATTAGAGAAATACAAGGATTTTAATTAAAGATGTTGGCTCCAAGCAAAAATGCTGGGTTACCCTGATTGATCTAAGCTGCTGGTTCAGCTCTTTCAGTCTCCCCCACCAGGCTCCTGCTTGCTTTTTGCTGCTCTAATTGGGTACTTACTGCATCGGCACCTTCTTTTCTCAGCAACATCAGCTGCACAAAGACTGTATAAACACAATTATGCTCAGGCCAAACTCCTGTACACATACACAGTCACGGAGGGTTTTACATTTGCTAAATATTTATGTCTCAAGTTTGATTTAAAGGCTCTTTGTCTGTTTTGCATTCCCTATTTTAATTTGTATTTCTCTCTTTGGTTTCAGTTACATTTCTCTAGGACAAAGTACATAATCTGTCCTTTTAATAAAATAATGTATTCCATTTGTAAAAGTTTCTATTTCTTTTCACAGAAAAAGTTAAAAAAAAACCCAAACAACAAAATCTTAACAGACATCAACAGCAAAAATAGTAACAATGTAACTACAGATTTTCAAATTTGATTAGTAACTTCCCAAAGCATTTGTTCTTGTGAGGTTATTTATGTTCTACTTCGTGGGTGCCCAAGACTCTTCCAAAAATAGATTCTTTTTAAAGTACTTTTACATTAGCCTTTCTTGACACTGAAACAAAGAACACCACCTGCCTTTTAGATGTTCAATATGAATATTTACTAATATTTTAATCATAAAAGAAGACTGGATTGTTAAGTGCAGAGAACAGTGCGCTGAAATTACATCTTCTCTGCCTCCTGACAGAACAGCTTACTTTACATTTCCTATTAATTGTCTTCTTAAATGGATAAATTCTCTTGTCACATCAAGGGATACATTAGGACCGAGTCAGATGCAGGTGGTGTTTCAGACTGAGTCGGAAGTACAGAGAGACATTGCTGGAAGGCAACATAAGAAGAAGGTAGGTAAATGATATTCATGCAAAAAAACAAAAAGATTTGGATTCTTTTCCCCCATGCAATTTGAAATGAAAGATATGGATTAAGATCTTTCATTTTTCATCCTTTCCCAGGAAAATAATTTAAATCTTATCTTGGGAGGGGGTCTCATTAGAATATTTTGCTTCAGTTATTTGATAAAAAAAATTACAATATTAAAATGCAGATGTACCTCTGAGTTGTTTCTAGGAACAAAATAGTTTGACACTGGGATGTAGTACTGCTGAAGTGTTTTCCTACACGCTTGCAAGTCCTGCATCCCCATGGTGACTAGGTTAAGGTACACACTATGTTTGTGATACCATTCATCCTACCTAAGAACAGCGTTTGTAAGCTTGAAAGACAGGGATGTTTTTTAAAGTCAGAAATGAAGGCAGCAAAAACCTTCATAGCACCACTTGCATTTTTATGTTGAGTCCCTACTCTCTGCTTCAGTCTGCAGAAAGTGCAATGAAGAAATGCCCACTGCCAGCCTAATACTCAGGTTTTTTTCCTTCAATCCTGCTGTTAACCCAAGGTGCAGCAATGTCAGGGAAGCAAAGAGGAAGTAGATGATATAAAATTAACTCCTGCCCCTGACAATCAGAGGCTGCAGAGTGTGCTTGAAGGTAAAAGGCTGTAGAGTAGCTACTTCAATCAGAAATGTGTGATCTGTGTATCTCCCTGGAACTTAGATGCCATATGTCTTTCCAGAGTTTATTATTTTAAATCCACAGTTGTGCCTTAGCCTGTCCTCACTATTTGGAATTGAGAGGGCAGTCACTGTAAAGAGAGAGAGATAGCTGTCACTGCTGGAGCAAACCTACCATGCAGCCCTGCTAAGCTTCTGACTTCACAACACGACAGATAAGGTTTCTCTCTCTGGTATTACTACATTAATCCACAAAATCAATTCAGTCATCTGAAAGGAGTGCTTTGTAGAGGTTGAGACCATGGGAGCTGATCCTGCCACGTGGACTCCTGCAGCCACATCGAGTCCATCTGGACTTCCCAACTTTACACAAGGATGGAGTCTCGGTTTGCTGGAGCCAAAGCCTGAGCCAGGATCATATCACCCTTGTATAACTGCCAAGGTTTTACAGTACTCTTGGATAAGCTAGCCACATAAGGCTTGAATAAGTGTGCTCAAGTCTGGATGCATTACCCAGGTTCTAACAGTTACTCCCTTTAACAGACAAACTGGCCTCTCATTAGGACAGTGAAAGAACCAGCATTAAATAATTCTAACCATTGTATAAAATAATTTGGTCAGCTAAGGTTTAAATTCCTTTCCATTACTTACTTTAGCACCTAACCTTAACATAAGGAGGGTTTCTGAGCACTGACTTCTTTGGGGCTTTCATAAAGATTGCCAGCAATGGAAGGAGACATACTAGCTTGATTCAGATAAAGAAGATTCTGCTTAGCACTTCTGTATTTAGTTCGCTATACAGTTATTCCTACAGCCTGTCCTAAAGCACTTTTAATCACACCTGCAGATAAAGTGCAATGTGAAACAGTAATATAAGAGCATGTCAACTTTAGCAGAGCTGTAGCTGTCATCAGTTTTGCCAGTAATGCCAGCAGATGCTCCCGAATAAAAGTAGTGCTCAGGAGGGTGGCAGAGCCTCTGCAGGCATCCAGCTCTGTCACCTCTGCCCCTTGCTATGCCACAGAAAGGAGGTCTGTCTGGATTTCCTGCTTGTACTCGCTCATACAATGCTCATGCCAAGCTCTCTGCCATTTCTAATTGCCTCTTATCTCCTGCTCCATGCAGTCAAAAAGAAAAAAAGAAAGAAATAAAAGTCACAGTTGTACTGCTCCTAATATTTCCAACAGAAAAGGCAGATGACATTGGGCTATCATCACTTGAGAGAGTTACCTGGTATGCTCGCTTCATAGTGGTTAATTTGCCACAGTCACTTCCTCCTATCTACAACTCAGACAAGGAAAAAAGTGCAAGCTGCAGCAGTGCTTTCTAGGGGAGATATCAGCAACAATTTCATTTCGTAGGAAGAGTGACTCCAGTAAACTCAACCAATTTCCACCCTAGGAAATATCAAAGAAAGGAAATGTAATGGATAGCTCCACTCCTGCAAGGATGGGGGGCAAGGAAAGACTTGTGGGAAAAGACAGCTCTCTGTTTTTCTTCTCTTTTATATTTGCTAATATTGTGACTGCACTTCTAGCTCTTCCGTGCCTATCTGAAGGAGCTGAAAGCATGCAAAACAGAAACTCTCTCAGTATAGTTATCTTTGATTCATTTTAACGCTCTCTAAATTCAAGAGGACAGACAGATGTTGTGAACTACCCTTCACTTACTCCTTCCTTGACAAAAAAAATCCTACTATTCTCTTTTTCAGTACAACTCAAATGTATTCTTAAGTTGTTATAAAGAGAACAATTCTGCAAGATAAGTAATATTCCCAGGCTCCCACTGAAATTAACAGAGTATTTTGGCATTAGGAACTTTGCAGTGTCAGGATGTCATTAAAGATCTCCAAACCCGCCTTGTAGTTTTTTTGATGCCTGAAGTATTCATTCCAGCGTATTCCAAAAGAGCCATCAATATTCTCAGGAGCCATGCTCCATGTTACCACCAAGAAGTGAAAAGCAAATTCAGCTTAGCTTAAGCATTTTAAGAAAGCACAAAGGAAGAAAGAAAACCAAATTCACAGGGGTGGAAATAAAGCACATCATGTTGGTAACAATATATGGAAAAGTATGTCCCATACCAAACCCAGAATTTAGAGTGTCCTTTCACAATTACAAAAAGCCCCACAGGATCCCTGGTACAGTCCTCTGTTTCTCAGTCTTGCATACTTACAGGTCTGGCAGTGATTCTCTGTGGGTCCCCAGCATCGGCCTGTGCAGGACTTGTGGCACCGACCACCTGCAGGACAGACAGAAAATGAGACAGATTAGAAATGTGCCTTCCTTTCATTTCTCCAACATCCAGCAACTGCTGAAGAGGAGGGTCCATCTGGTCTTTGGAGCGGTTTTATGCTCTATCAAGGTTGAAACAGTGCCTGTAAAAAAAGCCCATATAAATAGCTAGAATTGGTGTCATATATGTATGAAAGAGGGTACATTCAGATTATATATCGGGCAGAAGCTCTCATCTGTGAGGGTGTTGAGGCTCTGGCACAGGGTGCCCAGAGAAGCTGTGGCTGCCCCATCTCTGGCAGTGTTCAAGGCCAGGCTGGACAGGGCTTGGAGCACCCTGCTCTAGTGGAAGGTGTCCCTACCCGTGGAAGGGGTTGGGACTGGGTGAGCTTTAAGGTCCTTTCCAACTCAAACCAGTCTGTGATCCTGTGAAATACGGCTACTTATCAAAGCGCTTTATACCCCAAATACCTCTCTGCTATGTATAACGACTGGGACATTTTAAGCAAAAAACAGATGAACAAGTCAGGAGGACTGAGAAACAATTTCATCACCCAGGGCTATTACTATTGCTTTCTATGTCCCATATAAGACCCAGTCATTCTTCCACAGAAGAGACATCAGTGCTAGAGAGGATGTCTGTCTGTCTGTCTATCTCATGCGAAGTTTCATCTGAGCAATGGGGTGATATATTTAATGCCCTAAAAGCTTTTCATATCCAGCATCACAATAAAGGTAATGTGCCCTGTGCAACCACTTAATCTCAGCAACACCTAAGGTCACAGGACCTCTCCTTTTCTGGCTGCTGGTTCTTTAGGTGCCTAGGCTTGTGCTTCTGATGCTCTACAATGTCATTTCACATACTGACAGGCTTAGTCCCTTGGGAAAGGTATTGTAGGTGCTTCCATTGTAAAATACAGACAGCGGAGGAAGAATTAGCAATGGTAACTTTTATAAACCACCTAGTAATTAGTGACTAAAACTTCAGATGGACTGAAGAAAGAGTTGAGTTCACATCTTCTGTTTCATGATTAAATGCTGACCACCGTGCATGGAAATGGAAAACCAGCAGAATGAGCGGCACATTCTCCTGTGGCAGCATCTTACACTGTTTGAGAAAACACTTGGACAGGAAAGACTTCCCATGAAGTCCTGACTGTGAGTGAATGGAGACCTCATTCTGCAGCTCTCACCCAGACACAGCCAGAGCTCAGTCACACTCCTGCTTATAGTGATCCGCCCTCCTGAGTGCCAGATGCTTCTGGAGCACACAGGAAGAGCCTGCCTTGCTGCACCCTGAGCCCCAACTTCTAAAACCCAGGGGAGGAGTTCCTGAGGCATAGGCAGCCAAGCCTTTTATACCCAGCCACAACTGAAGGGATGAAGTTGAGAAGCCCAGCATAAGCCTTGTTGAAGACAATGTTATGTGATAAGGAACATAGTCCTTATCACTGTTCTTTGTAACCATAGGAACCTAACTTCATCTTTGATTAAACTTTTATTCATCACTGAATGCTGCTGAGATTCTATTAAGCAAGTTTCCCATTTGAACCTGTTCCAGTAGCTTACCTTTCAATCCTGTATTAACAGCAGCTGCTGTTAACACTGCTCCATTACACTAAATCAAATACTTCCCACACGCCCTGATGGGAGATAGCATTGCAAAGTGCAAAATGTCTCCTGGTGAAGTTTGGATCACCCCAAAAGGAACCACTGCTCCTCTGCTAGCAGTGTGTTTATAGCTGTGAGATGTTCCACAGCTGAGCAAACCCACTGTGATAGTCTTTCTGTCACAACTTTTCAAAGCCAGCATTCTTCCCTCAGCACTTGTGGTGCTACTGATGATGTTGTATGGTAATTACCACAGTGTATGCCAACTACCTTGTTAAAACTACCAGCTCCTCGCTGCATTCATGTTCATTTAAAGCAATTATACTTGGGAAGCGTGGTTGCTGACATCACCAGCACATAATTTGCTGTCACATTCTGCCATCTGTTTGTTTAGATCACAAATGTACTATAACTACATAATGCAAACTCATTCTGGCTGACAGCGAGGGGACTCCATCTGGCATGAATAATGCAACTTTAATCAGTAATAACGATTATTATGATTATTAAGAGACTACTGGAACCTGCACAGAAAGCAAATACATCCATATTGATTTAGAAGAATGAAAGTTTAAAGAGAAGGTGAGGTAAACAGCAAATTAAAGAAAGGATTTTAACAGAGGAGGCTTGATAAGATACAGTTTGTTTGTTGATTTTGGTGGTCAGTCAACTGAACAAAAATGATCCCTAGGAAGTGGGTTTTATAAACTGGCTACCCTGACCAACAGAAGTGGGAAGGAGAAAGATATGGCCCTGGATGCATGTTCAGATAATCTTTCCACCACTTGCTTTGCTTGGTCCTCACCTGAGCTGGAGCATCCCTGCTGGGGGTAGATTGGGAAGAACTGCAACCCATGGACCACAAAGCCTCCTCTTTCAAGACTCTACTGTATGCCCAATCCTTCCTTGTCAGTCAAACCTCATGCCCATCTCACTTAAGGGGTCTGGAGTTTAGGGAGAAAGCCTGAAGTCTGGCAGCTAGATGCAGTATGAAGCACTGCACACATCACTTACAAGCACATATTCCTGAGGCAGAATAAGGCAGCAGTTTGGCTGCTTCTTCCTCTTTCTGTCCCTGGATTCTATCCCCTTCCAAAACATACTGTATGCACTGGGCTATCCACTGCAGTGGATATCCATATGCAGTGAGGTAACACAGAAGACACTTCAAGCATCCCTCCAAGTGATCTCTAACCAAAGAATCCACACACGCTTCTGCAGAAGCCACACTTAAAATACAAATCTTCATATTTGCAACTCCCAGGTGCTGATCCTCCGCATGCAGTCAAAAATGTATCCAACCACCTTGATTCCTCCTGGAAACAACAGAGATCCGGCATCTTCGAAAACCATTTTACAAGTGGTTTTTTACTTGCCTGCCCGCTTCCTGGTACATGACTTTGTTTGGCAGGGTCAGAAGATCATTTGCATTTAAACAGAGATATTTAACAGTAAGGCAAGAAAAGGCTGCCAGTTCCCTTTTTTCTCACTGGGAACTCCAAGGGTCTTTTTCATTGGTTTCACTTTTCTCAGCCGCAGAGGAACAACAAGGTGCAGAGCCTGTAGGCAGCACACCTCCGAACTGCATTGCTACATGTCCTTTGGAAGGTCAAATATACTGAGAATTCAAACCAAGGCACAAACTCCCTGCACACAGTGTGTCTGCATTGGTTTGTTTGTTTAAAGAGAAAAATAACTTTCTTTGCCCTTAGGATGAACTGCCCTCACATAACTCAGTATTTCACCTTGTTTCCCCACCGTAACAAGGACTGATTGCTACACATCAAAGATCAGCTCCGTAAGCCTAACACAAAACCAGTCCCATGGAAGTCAACAGAAGCAGTCAGGAGCATTCATGCGAGGAGCAGGTCTCACTATTAGATTTGCATGTCAGGCTTAAATGATAATAAATCTATTGGCCCTAAGACTGACAAGTAATTCTATTCTCACAGAGTTCTCTATGCATTTGAGTCTCCTCACTTTCACCCTTCTGATTCTCTCCCCCATCCCACTGGGGGGCAGCGAAAGGCTGTGTGGGGCTGAGCTGCTGGCTGGAGTTAAACTATGACATCTCTGAGCCAGGGAAAGTCACCAGCAGAAAACATTTGCTCTCTAGCTTGGGAAAGACCAAGGTTACTTCCTCCTTGTGCTTTCCTAAGAATTCAAAAGGGCTTTCCTTCAGTTCCAGACTGACTTTATTATTTCAGGAACAGTCAAACCACAAAGGATTAAGTTACTGACAAGACAAGAAAAATGAAGTCCTCCTCTTAGCTCTCAGCTCAGTATAGTACAGAAAAGAAACACTGCTTCTTCCCCAGCAGCTATGCCAGCTGCCTCAAGCAGACCTCCCTTGATAGGAGAAGGAAAACAGAAATAAGAAAAGAAATGGTCTCATTTTGCACAAAGACTGCATTTACAGATGGTTTCTATTGGGTTAATAAATCATTAATAGATGTTAGCATACCTGCAACACACTGATGCTGAAGTGCGAGGAAACACAGACAAAATAAAGGAGCTCTGATGGTTACAAGCCACGGTTATAAGCCACCTCTTTACTTACCTAACAGTCTAAACTTACTGATTAACTATCAAAAGACCGATATATCATTTATTAGCTTCTGTAAGATACTCATAAACTCATGCTTCACCTAAATAATCTACTCCTGCAAGAATGCTAGAGATGTCATCTAGCTGTTTCTAGACATAATGAGACCTAAGGACCAAGAAGTTCCAGCTATACTGTGTGGTAAGAGTCCCAGTCTCTTCTTTCCATTGTTCAGATGGGACAGAAGATTTAAATACACTTGTGTGTTATTTTTCTAGGCAACTAAAACTCCTTAGTTTTATGCATGAAGAGATAACAAAATCAAAATGTAATTCAAACATGGCAGCACACCATTAACAAGAATTAAAGATACTATTGTTGTGATGGATTGTTCTGCCTTTATCAGGCTGTAATGCTTTCCTTGTCTGACTATTCCTATTGTCACACATTCATTCATTCATACTTCTTTGTTAAGCAAAAATAATTGAATCTTCTACTGGCCCTGTGCTAGCCTTCAGATCTCTGTTAGTGATTTTAAACTTAATTACCTAACAGAAACTCATACTTTTCAGGATTCCCCTTTCTTTACAGCAGGAGAGACGTATGTCATACGAGAAAGTAAAACTTCCCGTAGCAGAAGAAAGCATCTTATAGAGAAACCTAGTGCCCATTTTATCTTCCTCTCTGTAGAAGTGTTATGGGATACAGAAAGCTAAGGGTCAATTCCTCTACTGCTCTCCAACTATGTTGCTTTCACTGCTGTCAGATGAGTTCACCTTGGGATGTATCACCAAATAGTTTTCCAACATAGAATTAGTCCCATAAAATTCAGGTTTTTCTTTAACAAGCTG